CATCGCCTCAGGGTCTGAAGACAGCACTATTAAGCTATGGGACGCTAGTACAGGCAGCCTCCAGAAGACGCTTGTAGGCCACTTAGGCTGGGTTGAGGCTATAGCCTTCTCACTAGATGGCAAGCAGATCGCTACAGGGTCTAATGACAACACCATTAAGCTATGGGATGCTAGCACAGGCAGCCTCCAGAAGACGCTCGTAGGTCACTCAGGCTTAGTGGCAGCTATAGCCTTCTCACCAGACAGTAAGCAGATCGCTACAGGGTCTGGGGACAACACCATTAAGCTATGGGATGCTAGCACAGGCGGCCTCCAGAGGACGCTTGTAGGCCACTTAGGTTTAGTAGCAGCTATAGCCTTCTCGCCAGACGGTAAGCACATCGCCTCAGGGTCCGCGGACAACACCATCAAGCTATGGGATGCTAGCACAGGCGGCCTCCAGAAGACGCTCGCAGGCCACTCGGACTGGGTCGAGGCTGTAGCCTTCTCGCCAGACGGCAAGCAGATCGCCACAGGGTCTGATGACAACACCATCAAGCTGTGGGACGTTACCAAAGCTTTAAAGGTCTCAAAATTGCTTGGTAGCACTCTAGGTAGTCATCTCAGGCACCGTGCATGGCGGGAAATCAAGACCTCAAAGCCTGTCTTCTCTCTAAAATTCTCCGCAAACGGCCGACACCTCATAACAAATCTCGGTCAGATCAAGATCGAAAGCATCCTTGCAAATAGGCAAAGCTTTGGCTTCGAGTCGTTAGAAAATCTCTGGGTAGATAATCAGTGGATTTACTATGGAGCGATGCCTATATTTCGTTTACCGTTAGATTTCGAGGTACAATGTCATGATGCCATAGGCGATCAATTGGGTATTGGGTTTCGTAACGGTCAAGTTTTAAGCTTCTATATTAACCGTAAAAGCTTGAACTCAATATTCAAAAACTCAGCGTAATTCTATCTCAGCTAACTTAGCAATTAAATATAACGTGGTTCATCACCAAGCGGGCCACTTTCCACCGTCATACGGTCTTCATAATTCTACATCACATTCTTTAACAACAAAAAATGCCACTACAATCCCGTGAAGCAAGAATTGTATTAGCTATTAAATCTATTCAGTCCTCTGATAAAATAAGTGTCCGAGAAGCGTGTAGACTCTACAATGTACCCAGAACATCTGTGCAACACAGAATGAACGGTCATACTGCAAGAGCTGAAACCCACGCGAATTGACACTCTAAACCATGATAGGGTCTAAGGAGTTCTTTTAATCCCCTAGTGATTATTATTCATAGTCCCCTTTGTAATTTCTAACTACTAGAATCCGAAATAAATATTGCTAAGTCCATAAAATTTATCACAATTCCTCTTCTAAAATCATGGCAGGAAAATAGCCAACACCGCCAAAAACCCCAAAGAACCCACGAAGCCAGATCAAAATTAGATAGAGATTACAATAATTATACAGAGGTGAGACCATGCCAAACTGGCATTTTATGGAGTGGTCCGACCCATATAACCACCATCGAGACCCGCAATCGGCAAGGATTCCAGACGGAGGATATGTTAGCAGCGATCTATCATTACGCCCAGAGGAACGGACACTTGCATGTATTTTTTTTACTGGACGAGTAGAGAGGGGGCTATTCGGATTTGGCACGGTGACAACGGCGAAGCGATGGTGATGGTGACAGAAGGGCGGTGACAACAGCAGCACAGTGGTGGTGACAGCATACCGACGACGACAGAAGCTCGGCCAAAACACTCGTCCAATGGTATTGGCCGCGTACATGACCGACTCCGTTTGAAGCCATCGGGGCAACGCACGATCGCCCAGAACTCTGTGGATTGGTTCCACCACGTTTCTAGTTGAATGACAATTGGCCCGGATCTTAGATCGAGGCTCAGATTATATAGACGTTTTCCTCGACGCTTCCCCCGGTTCATCGCCCACGTACATTATGGCATCGGATTGTATGGGCATCTCATCTAAGTAATCGTACTTTCCATCCTATCATCTCCTCCCATCTTCCTCACGTAAAAATAAGATAAAATCCCATCAACGATGAGAATACCCATCCCGTCTCCAGTCTCATAAAAACCGCCCATTACCCGGTTTCTATATTTAGTACTTCCTTCCTGACTGCACCCCAAAAATCCCCACCCCCTCCAAGCTAACGCCACACGCGATAGCGCCAACCACTCTTCCACTCTTCCATCCAGAACACCCCCCCCTAGCGCGCTACTCGTATCATCCCACCACTCACTGTCAAGGAGGGTTCAGGCACCAGTGTTAGGCGTCCGTCAGCTGAATCATATACGCGCGGGCGCATGTAGGGGCGGATGCAACGTACGTACAGTACGTATAGGTTGTCAGCGTTAATGTAAGTAGCAGAGCGGCTGGGGAATGGGTGGTGGTCAGATCGGGGTTTGAAACGATGGGGGAAGGGGGGGTTCGATATGTTGGGGGGTATGGGGGGTTACGGTTGGTGTTTCGGGGGATAGTTATTGTTGCAAAAATTGATTAATGGTGAAGCTGAGAGGGATTGAAGGTATGATAGTTACTGTGCGCTTGTATATGATGGAAACCTTCTCTTCGTCTTTGCACCCTAGTACAGCTTCTATCGCCTTTGTGCTCCACCACAGGCCTCAACGCTAACAAAAAATATATTAAAAAAATGATACTAAAAATCATCGTGGGCAGGATTTGAACCTACGCGGCCGAAGCCATATGATATCTATCGCAATAAAGCATTCGAGTCATACCCATTAACCACTCTGGCACCACGATGGTTGGATTGGGGAGAGCGAGGTTGTAGAGAGTCATTATATAGTTTATAGAGTGCAAAAAGAAGATATGATATTTTTGAGGACGTCGACTTGGAAGCTCATATGAGGGTATTTTATGTGGTATTGTCTGTCGCTCCTCCCTATACGCCTGTATGCACCATATAGTATGCAATCTTCTAGTGGACAAGTTCACGTACATACAAATATCTCCCTACTAAAACTCAACTCTGTGCTGTAACATCTTACATACAGGAGCATCGAGCATCTCTAACTCTTGTACTCTCTCTACTCTTCTACTTTTCCTTATACGCCTCCATACACTGCAGAGTAAGTACTATTTCTAGTGGGGGTACCTGGACCCCGTATCTCAACTCGCTTAGCCCATAGTCTGACACTGTTCCCACTCTCCCCCCTTGTCTCACTTGTCTCCTGTTTCTTCTGTGGCGGAACGTTCTGTGGCCCAACCACCCAACCACCCAACCCCCCCTGTCCGCGATTGATTTGGTGGGCAGACGTGAAAGCACAGCCGCCGCAATTTACTCCATACCCATACGCCCCATCCAGCCTTCCTTTGTCCTCGAACCTTTCTTGGCCTCACCTGCTACACATTTGTTCCATCAAAATACACGCGATAGCGAATACACGACAATCACAAGGCCATCAAGTATTAATTATTGCTTGGCTCTGCTGTTGAATTGAAAAAGCTTCATCATCAGGCGCCAGCTTCTACCCGAGCCAAAGTCAACAAAGCGTCTAGTTTAGGGGCTGTGGTGTCCCTCGATTCGAAAATGAGCGTATGTTCACCCTCCCCCCCTTCCTTCTTGACCATCAAGTATACTCCCTTACTTGTTGCGATATTACTTTTGATGCCACGAGAATTGCAGCTAACGAATCAATGGAACAGTACAACAACAAGTCAGTACATCCCAATTCTATCCAGGCGTCAACAAGCATGGTATAGCATGGCGTTGTGACACCGGTCGCAAACCCAAACTGCAACGCTCCGAAGCCTGGGTCCCAAATAAACTGTCGCATCGTACTGACTTCTCCCCTACAGCTACGGCGGGTCGAACCCATATGACCAGCGAGACACTCAACCTTCGGGCGGCGGTTACAACGGTGGAGGATACGGAGGAAACAACCGCTACGGAGGAAATGTAGGCCGTGACAGCTATGGAGGTGAGCCAACCCCCCCCCCCCCCCCCAATTGAACCCATATTCAAAACGCATCCTAACCCCCCCTCTCCAGGCCAAAACGTCGAGCTGGAGCCCCTGGCCCAGAACGGCCAGCAATTCGGCCACCAGCAGGACCCGAACGCCATCCTCAACGAGTGCCGCGAGATCGACAAAGGCATCGACGCCATCGAGCGCAACCTGGATACCATCCGCATGCTCCAGCAGCGCGCGCTCGACGACCCCGATTCCAGCCAGCAGAGCGCGACGAACAGCCAGCTGGACTCCATGAGCTCGGAGACAATGACCATGTACCGCAGCTTCGCGGCGCGCATCAAGTCGCTCAAGCAGCAGCCAGAGTCTGGCAGTCCCAAGAACGCGCCACAGCTGGGGAAGGTGGATCGTAAGCTCAAGGCCGCCATCAACCAGTACCAGAACGTCGAGAGCGACTTCCGCAAGAAGCTGCAGGCGCAGATGGCGAGGCAGTATAGGATTGTCCGACCTGATGCGTCGGAGGCGGAGGTGCGCGAGGCGGTAGAGGATACGAACCAGCAAGTCTTCAGCCAGGCGCTGCTGCAGAGCAGTCGTCGTGGGCAGTCGCAGCAGGCGCTGAGCAATGTGCAGGATCGCCACGCGGCGATCCAGAAGATCGAGTCGCAGATGATTGAGCTGGCGCAGCTGTTCCAGGATATGGAGGCGTTGGTGGTGCAGCAGGAGGATTCTGTTACGATGATTGAGCAGAAGGGCGAGGAGGTGCAGGAGAATCTCGATAAGGGGACTGAGCATATCGGGACGGCTATTAAGAGTGCCCGCTCGCGTAACCGCAAGAAGTGGTACTGCTTGGGTATTGTTCGTACGTATTACCCGTGTTATCCGTCTGTAGATGCAAAGACCAGCTTACTAACACATCTTCTCCAGTCATCATCATCATCATCATCGTCGTCGCCGTCGTCATCGTCAAGGTCGTCAACGCACCCCCCAAATCGAACAACGCCGCCAAGCGCGACGTCCTGTACAACATCCACGGCCACCTTGTCTCTCCCGGCGCAGGAGGAGCATCCATCGAATCTCTCATCGCGTCCCTCTCGAAAGAAACGATCGACAAAGTCGCCAATGCTGCTGAGAAGAGGGGTCTGCCTTGGATTGGTTGAATATCCTAAGCACAGATGTGGACGGACGATACTGTACAGCGCGTTTGATTCCCGGCCCCCTCGCACTTATTTTTCGCATACACGGCGTTCATTTTTGTTGGAACTACGCTCCCTCCCTTTCTCTGTCCCTTGAGAAGAGTGGGGGGTGGGGGATTCCTTTTGTTTTTTTGCTCTCTTAGTTGTAGTAGTGTACGGATACCAACCAGCTCTTTTCCTTTAAAATCACCTGTCGAGACTCCACGTGGCCCCTTTTTACTTTTGTCCTCTTCTGAATGAAATGGGAATATTTCGCATTGGAAATCCTGGGTCTTCCTGTCTCCGTGGTGGGGTAATTGGGAGGGGGAGGACAGGGATGGATGCGGAATGTTGTTCCCGGGGGGAGGGGGGTATTATATATAGGTCTTCAAAATTATTACGGTATTAATTTGGCACTGAGTTCTGGTTTATGTGATGCGATATGATGTGATGCGATGTGATAAATGTGATGATGACTCCTTTATTGCGGGTGCCTGATTCTGCATGGCTAGTTTCTATGGGAGAGTTGTCTTCTGTGTCTGTGTCCTGCAGGACGTGGTATACCCCCACCCCCCAACCCATCCATTATGCGCCCGCGATGCTAACGATCCGCTCCTTGACTCCAAAACATATAACCTTTCCTCGCCCTCACTCCTTGGGCCTATCCTCGCCCTCCTTCTCGCCTTCCGCCTCCTCCTCCTCATGCTCACCCTCACCCTCACCCCCATCCCCTCCATACTCCCCCTCTTCCTCTTCCAACCCAAGACTATCCCTCCCCGTATCAACCACCGTCCTAAGCACCCTCATCTTCCTCTCAAACTCCTCCACCAAAACCTGAAAATCCTCCCCCCTCACCCCCTCCCCCGGCTCCCTCCACACCCTCCCAACCCTCTCCCTCATCCCCTCATCCCTCCCCCTCGTCCCCTCAAGCCTGAGCATGAACCTTGCCGCGCCCTCGTCCTCCCCGTCGTCCGCGGCGGCGGGGCCGGATTCCCAGGTCGGCGCTTTGGTGATGCTCGCCGAGAGGAGTTGCCACGAGGGGGAGAGGGAGTGGAATGCCGTCACGGCCGTGCCGCTCTCGTCGAGATCGAGGAGGAGGGTGCGGTGTTCGGGTTCTCGCGGCTCGCTGCCTGATGGCATCCGCTGCTGTTGCTGGTGGCGGGAGGAGGAAGTGAGGCTCGATGATCCGGAGGAGTGCGCGATGTGCGAGCTTGAGTTCGGAGAGGGTGCGGAGGATATGGCAGCGAGATATTCGTCTGTGAGGTCCTGGTCGTCGTCTGAGAAGATGTATCGCACGTTTACGGGATGGTGCGTGCTGCCGCTCGTAGCGTCATCAACAAGGGTAAAAAAGGGTGTGAATGCCGGCCGTGGCGCCATTGTGCTTTCCTGATGCTGCGGCTCCTCGGGAGCCTGTTGTGACGGCTGCAGACTTGCGTACGGGAGACGAGGGGAGGTGATGGGGCTGCTGGCGGGATGAGCGGCGTTGTCTGGGGGATCCTTTCCCGTAGGCAGAGATTGTGATGTTGATGGGGACATTGTGTGTTTGTGTGGGGGGGTGATTAGTTATTAGGAGGTTTGATGGGATGGCGAGGCTGGAGGAGGTGGCCAGGCACGAACGTTTGATGTCAAAGAGCTCTGGCCTGGCTGGCCCTGGTGAGCGAGGCGCCATACGTGGATACCTCTTATCTCCACGTGATCACGCGTTCTTTGGACGCGGTGATGGGCTGGGCATCAGACTGTGGGAGAGGGGGGATTAATGATTTTGAGTATCAGATGTCGTGGTATAATGCGCCTTGGGGTTGGACAGAAGATAGTAGCGCTTTGCTGGTTCCTGTCTGGATGTTCCTTTAACGCCTTGAAAACAATGTTTCTCCCCAGAACCCGCACCCTGCCTTCGTTACACGTCTTGTTTCATGCTTCGTATAGTCGGATAGGAGTAGTTATGCTGTGGCAGTGTTTGTTTCCTCCTCTTGCTCGTCGGTTGCGATGGTTTCAGTCCATTCGAATTCTGTAGAGAAGTGATGTTAGGGCTGTGTTGGCAGGTACTTGAAACGGATGGACACCTACTTTGTCTGCACATTGGACACTGGCCCTTCGAGGAGTCCTGCTTGATCCATTCGACAATGCAGTGCTATTAATGGATTAGCAACTGTTGTCTGCTTGTCACAGACTAGTAGCTTGTCTCTTACCATGTGGAAGTTGTGGCCGCATTTCCCAGACACTGGAGACTAAATATCAGCAAACAGACATGGCATTTGGGGAATCCAGCTATGTAATAGGGACTCACATAAGCTACAATCATCTCCGGGATATTTGCAGGTTGGACAAGTGCCGTCGAAGTGGACTTGGCAAATACCGCAGACGTCGTCTTCTGGGATATCCCATCTCCAAGTCGCGACCGCATTCCATTTTCTGATCGTGACCTTCATTTTCAAGTTGGTCGGGGGTTGGCACAGGATAGATTCAACACTTCAGGGTCTGTTTTAGGATCTCTTTGTTGTGATGGCCTGCTATCCCATATATGCATGGAGCTTTGTCAATGACAAAGCCGTTTATGTTGTTATTTATTTTGTCGCCAGGAACCCCGATAAGGATTCGGGAGAAGTAGCGATCCAGCACTTATCGCGACAGGGATAGCAGGGTTGCGTCAGGGAGACGCAATGCGTATTTGCTTTAAACCCCACTTCCTCATTAAACTCCCGTGAACCTCTACAAACAAACATACAATAAAGCTTTCTGGATACTGAGGACAGGCCATCGTTCAAACGTGTACAAAGAGCTCCCGGGTGTTTTTATAACCCCGTCTTGTCTCACATGCATCTCTGATCACCGACAAATATTCATCACGGCGCCGTATGCAATGTTCCGAACTAAGATTCTCGCCCGGATCGGAGCTCCGAGGTTGAACTCGACATCACCGTTGCTCAGGATGGCAGCCACAAGATCATTTTCTTCTTACCTCGTCACACCCAAGGAGCTCAATGAAGCTCTGAAGAAGAATTCACCCACGAAAATATCCACCTTACCCCGAACGATACCCCTCTCCGCAGCATGGTTCCTCCCGAACGATGGCCGCAAGGGTATCGACACCTTCAGAGAGCAGCGCATTCCTAATGCGCGCTTTTTTGACCTCGACAAAGTCGTAGACCGTCACAGCACTTACCCACATATGCTTCCGTCTGCATCCGATTTCGCCGCCGCGATGAGCGCGCTTGGTATTAACCCGGATGATACGGTGGTGGTCTACGATACGAAGGAACTAGGCATATTCAGTGCGCCTCGGGTCGCATGGACTCTCAAGGTTTTCGGGCATGACCAAGTCCATGTGTTAAACAACTTCAAGCTGTGGGTGGAGGAGGGCTACCCGACCGAGTCCGGAGAGTTCTACAGTGTGGAATGTTGCGCCTATCGCATCCCCAAGCTCGACACATCCAAGGTCATTGAGTTTGAGGGGGTAAGGGAAGTTGTCCAAGATTTTAACAAGGAAGGCGCCGAAGGCATCCAGATTCTGGACGCAAGACCGTTTGGGCGCTGGTCAGGAAAGGATGCAGAGCCGAGGGCTGGATTGTCTTCTGGACATATGCCTGGATCCATCAGCATTCCTATGAGCGACGTTCTTGACCCAACGACAAAGACCTTTTTGCCAAAGGACGAGCTTCGCAAGGTGTTTGAATCGAAGGGCGTCGACCCGGAGAAGCCGTTGATCAGCAGCTGTGGGTCTGGTGTCACTGCTGCCATCATCGACACTGCTCTCGAGGAAGCTGGCTATGGCGATGCGGAGAAGCGCATGATATATGACGGAAGCTGGACGTGAGTTTCTGCTGTGCAATCATTTCCTATGCCATATACTATGGAATGCTAATCGAGAACATAGTGAATGGGCTCAACGTGTCAAACCTTCGGACGGCCTGATCAACAAGACTGAACACGATTGATTACTTGAACATACTATTGGGAAATCGGTTTCTGAAAGCGGTATTTATGCGCACTTCTCTTCTCTCAATCGTTTGGCGTGGATACCTAGGATCGTTGAAGCATGGAGTTTTCTTGGAGGCGGCGGGGTCAAGCTTGATATGACAACAAATGTTACTTCACTCCTTTCTTCGTTTATCTTTGGCTGTTTCGTGTCCATAATTGCTTTGAATATGCACATAAGTGTAGCGGGATGATGGCAACAATTAGTGAGTAGTATGATGAAATTATTGAACGCTGATAATTGAATTTGATTGAATCTCGAGATTGTTGTGGTCGAGGCGCATCTTGTACTCCGCGAGCCCATTGATCTAATCTAGCCTTGCCGATAAGCCACCCCAAGATAAGATCCCGAAATTTATTTTGACGCTAACACCCCTAGATACACTAGGGTTTCGCTAAAATTTCCCACACTTCGAGAAGAACATCGAAAACCCGCCCGACGACGACGACGCACGCGCAACCTCACCCAACGCCGACAACCCCCTCACAACACATCAATCAACATGGCCGACGCAGCAAGAGGCGGAGCAGCAGCTCGTGGCGGTGGTTTCGGATCCCGCGGTGGTACGTTCAATGCGCAATGAGAAGGGCGGGGGGACAGTTTGGCTAACATATATTTTTTTCGTGATAGACCGTGGAGGAGACCGTGGACGTGGTGGTGACCGCGGACGCGGACGCCGTGGTGCCCGCCGTGGTGCCAACAAGAACGAGGAGAAGGAGTGGCAGCCAGTTACCAAGCTGGGCCGTCTCGTCAAGGCCGGCAAGATCAAGTCCATGGAGGAGATCTACCTGCACTCCCTCCCCATCAAGGAGTACCAAATCGTGGACTTCTTCCTCCCCAAGCTCAAGGATGAGGTCATGAAGGTACGGATATTCTGGAATGCTGCAGAGACTGCAGAGGAGAGACTATCGTGGGATACAGACAGCTAACGTGCAACCCCCCCTCTACAGATCAAGCCCGTCCAGAAGCAGACCCGTGCCGGACAGCGTACCCGCTTCAAGGCCATCGTCATCATTGGTGACTCCGAGGGTCACGTCGGACTCGGCATCAAGACCTCCAAGGAAGTCGCAACCGCCATCCGCGCCGCCATCATCATCGCCAAGCTGTCCGTTATCCCAGTCCGCCGCGGATACTGGGGCTCCAACCTGGGTGCTCCCCACTCCCTCCCAACCAAGGAGTCCGGCAAGTGCGGTTCCGTCTCCGTCAGACTCATCCCCGCGCCCCGCGGTACCGGTCTCGTCGCCTCCCCCGCCGTCAAGCGTCTCCTACAACTTGCTGGTGTTGAGGATATCTACACCTCGTCCGCTGGCTCCACCAAGACCCTCGAGAACACCCTCAAGGCTACCTTCGTTGCTGTTGGCAACACCTACGGTTACCTGACCCCGGATCTGTGGAAGGAGACTGCGCTTGTCCGCTCTCCTCTTGATGAGTTCGGAGATGTTCTGCGCGAGGGAAAGAGATACTAGATGTCTGCATTGGAGCGGTGATGCTTTGAACGGTTTTCATCTTTGATGGGCACCTTGCATTCGGTGCGCTTATACTATAGCTGTGCCTAAAATGAACATTCTGCCAAAAAACTTCGTGCGAGGATTTACGTCCGGTTGTGAAATGTTTCTCTTGAAGCTGCTCTATTCTAGAATTGTTGGGTGGACGTAGGCCATGGCATATGATCGATCACCTTGCAAATTAAACCCCAAAATGATCGTCTGTGATATTGCATATTGCACTCCTGCAAACTACATAAACTCCTGACTCGACTCGGAAAACCAAAAAATATAGAACAGTCGATCCCGGACATTACAGTAGGTTTGCATATCCGCAGTTACCTACAAAAGTAAAAAAACCTCAACAAAAGAATGCACCTCCCTATCATCTCCGTCCGATACGATGTCTCAGGTTTCGTTCATCAATGCCACTGCCTCAGGTTCGCCCACCGGCGCCCCTGTCTCAGATTTGTCGACCTGTAGCTCTGCAGCGTCTGTCTGTGCCCCTATCTCCTTCCGTGCCTCAATCTCCGTCTGTGCGTCTCTCTCCGTCTGCGTGCCCCCATATCAATCTACGCCCCTGTCCCCGCCTGTGCACCTCCACCTCCACCTGCGCCTCTGGCCCTGGCGCGTCTGCCCGGGTTTGTCTCCGGTAATGCATCCTGTGCCACTGGCTCCGGTTCCTCACCATTTCCCCCTGTAGCCGGTTCTTGGGTCTGTTCCCCTGACTCTGGTTCTTTACCCTTTCCCCCCGCAGCCGGTTCATTGGCCTGAGCCCTTGATTCTGGTTCCTTACCCTTCCCTCCCGCAGCCAGTTCTTTAGCCAGTGCCTCCGCAGCCGCCGCCGCCTTAGCCTTCTCCTCAGCCTCTCGCTGTCGAGCAGCCTTCTGTTTCCGAGTATAGGACCCCTCAGGCCCATATATCCCGTCAAACTCCTTATTCCCAACTACCCAATGTCAGCCAACTAGCACATAAATAGGAGAGAAGGGGAGGGGTAATACGTACGACCGCGAAGTTGCCCATCAATCCTGTTACTTATAGCCTCCTGCTGCTTCGACGTTTCGCCCAACGGAAAGACCGGCTCGCCTTGGATGAGCTTCCTCCGCTTGTGGGAGTGTCCATCTCCAGAGTCGTCGGGCTGTTGGTTCCTAGCCCATTCCAAGTACCTGTTCTCCTTATCCATGTCGCCCATGTGTTGGATCGAGGGGGTCCAGCGGTTGATAGAGAAGCACTCTTCAGTCAGAGGGACGCGGTCGCTCTTCCGGGTCCAATCCCATATCGTCGTTGGGGTAGCGCGTGGTTCCCAGTTGCGATTGCTCTCTTCGACGATTTTCTCCTGCAGGATTTGGAGAGCGAGTTCTTCAGTGAGCTCATCCTTATCGGCGTCCTTGACTAGAGGTGTGGCGATTTCAATGAGGCTGTAGTTGCCTCTTGTGCCGTCAACCTCTCTTTCCCAGGCGCGAACCCGCTCTGCTAGGTTCTTTGTGTACTCAGTCACCACTAGTTTCATGTAGTTTTCATTCGCGTGTGCGATCTCGACTTGGGCTGAGATCTTCATGGTCGCTCTTGCGAGGCGCAGGCCGAGGTAGGCCCATTCGCTGAGTGTGACGCCGATGGAGCCGACGCTCCATTTCCCAGGGCGTGCAGTAGCTCTGTCCTCCGGATGATTGTTTGGATACGGCGCCCTCACTACATTGGCGGCCTTGTCGTACCTGCTTGGTGTCAATTATATTTTAGAGAAGTGCAGCAATTTGATTTACCTGAGATTCTTATCTCGGTCCATAAGTTCCAGCGTCCACATCATCTCAGGGTAGTCCAAATCAAGCGGCCCCTTGGCAATTACTTTGTCAAACAGAACAGTTACACTCACCGGTTCCTCAACCTCCTTGGGCCAGGTGTCAGAGCTGCGGATAATACCGTTGACTCTAGCCACAAAAGTGAGATATGGTCCCCGGAGATTGGATGGCTTGGTTCGGTGAGTGGAGGGCTCTGTGAGAACACGAAGTTTCGCCATATCAGACGGGGTGAAATCGTCTTCCATCAACACGTCGTTTGGCGGACCAGTAGTCTTGAAAATCGTCGTTATCATATGGGCAACTTGATTGATAGAGAGCCGTGGTGCCACTCGCTGCGTAAGTAATAGATCCTCGCTGAGTTCCAGGAGCCTTATCCGCATCTCTTCCCATTTCTTCAACAGCGCTTCCGGTGATGGAGGTACCCAAGGCCCCTTGAAATTCCGCGGCAAAGGGTTGAACGCAAAAGCGTCGCCTCTGTTATAGCGTTCTCTGACAGTCTGGGCTATCACGTCCTGAGCCTGTCTGTACTTGGCGACCTTCCTCGTGTACTCAAATGGATCTGGTTGCTTGGGCAGTTTTCTGCCGGTGTCTTCTTGCAAAGTTACATGTAGCTTTGCTTCTATTATGGGGGTGTCCATCTCGTAGGTCGGAAGGTCTGCAAGCTCAAAATCGATCAGTCCGGGCTTAGGTTCCCACCCAGGAAGACCGAAGCGATTGCGGTGTCGAAGGAGGGGAGAATTGAATTCGAAAGGTGTGATTTTAGTTGCCTCTTCAATCCAGTGATCATGGATTTTAATTTGGTCGGCTATTAGACTCAAGAGATCCTCGTCGGCCTGTACTAATACTTGCTTTCCAGTCTCCAGATCAGCGATGTAGTCCTTGATATCCTGGAGCTTTTGAGTGAAGTTTAAGCAACGGTAGTAATCTTCGTCCGCCAAAAAATTGTAGATTTGCTGCAGACGCTCATTGACAGGTGGTTGGGGCCTGCCGCGATACGTGCTGAGCTGTTGCTCTGCCTCCTGAGATGCCATTTTCGCTCCAAACGCACTACCAGCGAGGTAGATTCCTTGATATTGTTTCGTCGAGGTTTCGAAAACTGTGTCTCAACGAGCACAAGTATGATGTGCTTCAGGTATATCTATATATGATTTGCTTTTGACCTGACTGTGTTGTAGAGTAGTTTGTTCTGAAAACCAGGTTTGGGATCGACTTCGAAGGTTCTGTAGCACTCTCGTGAAGCATAGAGCACATATTCTGGGGGCCACTGGGACATAAAAGGTTGGAAGCATAGAGTTTTCTTTGAAGTTCTTTCATGACTTGATTAATTTCCGGCGCATTCTTGGCTGCAAGCGACGAAAGAACAAAGGGGCCCTGAAGCGGCAAGCAAAGAGCATCACCGACATTCCCGGATTCGGTTTTAGAACCAAAGGTGATGGCAAAATTTTAAAACAAATGATTGTTCAGCCATATAGAGCAAGCGAGCAGGTCCAGGAGAAATAATGTCCCCGGCTTATTGAAAGAATATTTTTGGAAAGTGAAGATATTAAGACGACAAAGAACGAAGGACGCACGTGACAGATAGGAGGAAGAGCTATCAAGAGTAGCTGAACATGATAAATTGGAGATCGAGACCTACAAGGCGTACCTTTTTTGGGCTCGCTCACCTATGGGCTTGCCTTCCCCGCTGATATGCGTGATACTATGGATTGAACCCAAGTATCTGGAGAGACAGTGGCGCCCACGTTCGTACAGTACAATCTGTAAAATATCCTTATGCACTCACCTACTGTATGTGCTTGCCTTCTCCACTGGTGGCTGTGATGCTATGCATCGAACTCAGGCATCGAATCCAACTATCCGGAGTCACAGTGCCGCCCACGCTCGTATCCATTGTAACGTCATAGAATATCGATCTTCTCGCCGCCATTATGCACGCGTCCAAGGCTCCGTCCAAGGAGCGCGTTGGACAAGTCTGGGCATATGCTCTGTATTCCAAAGCGCCACTCGATGCCAGCTCAGAATCCCATCTGCCTGGGTCGGCCGCCTCTCTGGCCGCCACTCAACATCGAAAGTCGATAGTGAGGACTGGGGGCGAAAAGCGAAAAGACGTGTCAGATTGGTCAATGGATCGCGACCGATATCTGGTGAAAAGCGCGTAAATACGTCATGCATCGCGCGATTCCAACACGCAAGAACTTAAGACCTGCGTAAAACCATAAAGAGCGGGGTAGACAGGGGGAAGGGTCTTGCTCTGGGTAAAGATGGTCAGTATTGTGGAGAATATTGCGCGTTTCCCCTCATATATCGCCGAATGGGTCTTGCAGGATTCATTGGACCCATCGTGGGACCCATAGATTAGAGCGTTTTGGTTTTTCGCTTTCCCCATCTAAAGACTGGCTTGGTGATGTGTGTGGACGAGACGTGTTGGGTTCGTGTCTTGGTCGCGTCTGTCGCGTTCCGCGTCTGAAGGGCCGAATATACTTGAAACTGTTCCCAGCCTTGTGGATTTCCCGACCAATCGCAACAACGACATTGACCGGATCTCTGCCACAGAACCCCGCTCCCCCCCATGCATAATCTCATCCATGAAGTGCGGAGGTTCGAGACAGGCTCTGTACAAAAGATACCGACAGATAGAGTAATGCAGAGGAACAACGCCGGATTTGGTCGTGGAGAAACATGGCGTTGATCTCGACGTGTCTCTTTTTGAGAGGCAAACCCACAGATCGTCGTGGCCAGTCGATAGTGTGGAAGATGCTCGGAATCCAATCTGTGCATAGCTTAGCTTCAAAAGGGAGGTGTCGACGTCGACTCTCCCTTGCTTGATGGCTTGATTGCATGCTTGTGTGTTTGTTTATTTGTTTGGATTCTGGAGATACGTGTGATCTCCGGCGCCTACCCGTATACATGTGACGCCAAGTTGCCCGCGGCCGTGCAGTATGGAGCAGAGAAGAGCTATGTATGGGTTGTATCGTAATCGTACCCTACTCCGTACGTGCGAGCGTAATCGTACTTGTGAGCGTTGAGGAACGGATGCCGTTGTGACTCTACTGTCAAAGCGGCAAAGCATGGGTTCACCCTCACCCCAGAGTCAGTTCCCGAGAATCCGCCAGCTCTAGGTAGCTCCAGGCCTGTAGCAGAGTAATAGTATGGTAATCTTGTGTTTGAGGAATAACCACAAGACATCTCGTCTCGGTCCGCAGTAAGACAGGGTTGCGGAGATAGAAGAAGAGCTCTGCGGAGACGCTGCCTGATTTGGCTGACAGATCTTGGTGGCGATGTAACTTCAGAATCGATGTCGCGCATCTTCTTTACCTGGCACAATTGAGCTCATTCGGTGTACGCACTCTACCTAGCCTCCTGCGAGATGTAAGAAATCATGTGTGTAAATGGATCCACGTACTTTGTCACTTGCGAACTAGAGAAGAGGCGCGGCAGAGCGAGAGAGGGGAAAAAGAGGAGCTGACGGACTGATGGACCATAGTACAGTATCGTGCGGATTCAATATCTCATTGCTCATTTGCCCATTGGGTATTCCGTCATTGATTGTGGCGGGCGCCAACACGAGAGTTAGAGCTTCCTGTTGTGGCTGTAAGCTGTGCCTTGCTTAGGATTGTTCTGACTACATTCCATAGTTTCTGTTCCGTATAGTAACTGATCCGCGAGATGGTAAGATTTCCCCACAATTCAGCTTCCTGTTACATCTATTTCCGTGGTCAGCGTTAGAGGCGGAGGCACCGATGCTGATTGTTTCCAATGTACTGGACTGGATGAGTGGATGGAGTATACTCCGGACAAGCAAGGACGAGTACCTCCGAGCCCATTTAGCGAGTCCCAGATTATGCTCCTACGACAACCAGCATCACTATGCACACGTGGAGTAGAGCCAGGCAATCCTCTCCACTCCATGTACAGCATGACAGACCGGACAATTTATTCTTCAATTGGTAAAGGATTAATGGAACAAGTTGACAGCTCTACTATTAAAACGAAGCTGGTCACGATATCTCCTCCAAAAGAAGGCCAATTGAGCTTCTGGTGTGCGGAGCCGCAAATCCAGTTCTCTCCCAAGGAGCTCCCGCCCGTCAATTTATAACTAACATGGTATAGCATCCTTGGCCCCAGGACAGGCCCCCTCGATTGGACTCGACGTTGCCAGCTGAACAAAAGATACGCGATCCCGATGGGGCCGCCTTATGTATAGCCTGCATGAGCGCCAACGTGGAGGTTTGGCTCAGCTGGAGAAATAATCTGATGGATGTCGTCCACAATGCGGTTTATTGGTGGCTCGGTGCGAATTTGGCTGACGCAACTGCATGATATGATTGTGCTGACAGACTTGGGGCCGCGCCTGCCAATTGTGTCGTGATACGAAGACCCACAGAGGAAGCCATCATCAAAATTGAATAATGAGCGACAGCCAGAGATGCCGTTAATGTCATTATGTGGCTTAAATCTATAGTGGTCGAATGTTGGTGACGACCTCGGACCTCCTCCCTTCCTTCCCCCAAGCGCCGTCATTCCGGACCAAAAAAAACCCTTGAGCCAACAAAAGGCAAAAAAGAAGGGTAATAAAAGGGCCAGTTATGAAAGATCCAATTTTGGAAGCGGAGACTAGGGACGCCAGCCATTTTTACGCCTCCCATGGTTTGCTTGGGGGCCCTTCAGGGACACAGGGCGGACGAAGCGAGGGGACACGAACACCGGATGATCCTGAGGTGCAATTTGCGAAGACGCGGGAGGCTGTTATATAACATGGGACTTTCTGTTAAGCTTCAAATTTTCATTAAACAGATAGTTGGATTACTGGAATGGGGGTATTGCGCGCAAATGAACAATAGCACACTTCTCTCTATGTTGAGCACCGAGCGCACCTTCCCTGCCTTCAAGGTCTCCCATACACTCTCAAGGAACCAGCAGTACCGTTGCATTGCCATACCTTGCTCCGCAGCAAATCCCGCGATGTTCCCGCCAGGCACAGGAATTCAAATAACACAGCGGTCTCCTTTTCCTCTCATAAGCTCTCTGATGAAAGTGACACAGCGTCTGCCAATTCCCCCTTTCCAGGAAATCAGCCGCGGGAGAGATAATTTACAAGGAAGCACATTATTACTTGGCAGTAGCACAGGGCACAGTGAGCTGCAGCAGCAACATTGCACATATAGCTATCATTTCACGTGCAATATTGAATGAAGTGTGATCGCATGACAAGAGTCTATCATTTCCATGGGCAAAAAGTCCAACAGAAGTTACGTACGGGCGGAGGAGGATCTCTCCGCTCTCTCTCTAAAGCCTGACTTTACGAGATTACAGCTATGGCTCGGTTACAAGACATGCGACGGCACAGTTATGGCGATGTGCGCTGTGGGTGGGAGCTAGCGCCCCGACCAGACCAGGAAGGACCATGTACGGCTTGTACGTACTCCGAACCACACACTATTCGCGGATCCCAGCATCTTCATTATTACCGTGTCGTGGGATATCCATGAAGAGATCGGCCAGCAAGACACCCGCGTTGAGCTGTGGACGAGACTTCTCTCGAAACGACAACCACAACACCGTGCCATCGCGGACATGGCGGGCGGACGGGTAAAACAGAAAGTTCGCCTGTCATGGGTTACAGTGTGTGCAGCTATCCACGGACCATCTGCCTGCTTCCAACGGTATAGTGGGCAAGGAGTGGGAAAGGAGTGGGCAAAGTGTTAGACATGCTGTCTTCGATGAGCCGATAGAGTCGATAGAGTTGGCTCGATAGGGCAAACGGGAGTGCTGGTCGATGCAGCTATATCTTTCTGAGCGAGACCTTGCTCCGCGGTCGATGTCTTGACAGTTCCGTTGAGTCTCGGTGAACCTGTTGTCTCATGAGATGGGTGAGCCTATGCCTGTGTGAAATGTGTAGTGAAATGGGATGGGACATAGGCCAAATAAACCTTGAATTGCGTGGTGAGACATACATGTCAATGCCTGTATGCCGTCCATTTTTGGGTCCATCTTTTGGCCTTTGTAGGCCTATCTCCTATTGCAACATTGGAACAGCTTGACACAATTATGCGATTCTCCGTTTTCCCCCTTCCGTCATGATTGGGCTCTCATGAGCTCTCACCCAATAGAGTTGTTGCCTCTTGGGGCTGGACTTCTTGACTTCCATTATGGTGTATGGTGAGTGAGTTAGCTCAGAGTCGCGATCCTTGTCGCGTCCATCCAGCCAGCCAACCAGCCCTGGAAGAAGGGGCTGACACCTTCTCTCGACACCATCGTCGGCCATGCCAGAGTACATGCATTATAGCGTAGAGGGCAGTGCTGGACGAAGTACTAGAGCATGCAGAGGACTGGTAGAGCGATAGCAGTGGACCAACAGTAGAACGAGTTGACGATAGCAAGGTATTGGCGGGCGTAAGAGGTGGGCTGTAGTAGGCTGTAGTAGGCTGTAGGGTGGGTAGTACGTACCTAATATTTTGTCCTATGTAGAGTACCACACAGTACGCCCGTAGCCGACCAAGACCAGGGAGGAGAAGGAGAGGAGACACCACTACTGGTCCACTACTGGTCTAGGAGAGACGACACGGCCACCACGAGAAACACGCTCCTCACTACTCCCACACACGCACGGCTGTCGGTCCCAAAGCTTAAACCACCTCCTCCACCACCACCACAACCACCACCCAATCTCTCTGACTGTGTTCTCTCCTCACCCTCTCCTCCTTCCATCCTACATCCTCCATCCCTCCCTCCATCCTCTCCTCCTCCTCTCTCTTTAATCCTCATCCTATCCCTCTTCTCCTCCTCAACATCTCTCCTTCAATTGTTGAAATAGGGAGAAGAAGAAGAAAGGAGATCCACCCCCTTGGACCTTGACAAGCTCGTGACGTCGGACTCCGGGAAAGTTGAAACGAGTGGTCGAGCCCAGCTTCTTCGCTTTAGCTGCAATTCCACCAATTCGCTCTCCTCCTGTTCTGGTCCATCGAATATAGAGTCAAGACTACAATAATATTACATTATTGGGCCTTGATGTCTTGTGTCGTGTTCGAGTTGAGATAGAGACGGGTAGTAGGACGACTGCCGAACGAGAAAAAGGGTGAAGCCGAGCCGATTCTTGAAACCAACAACTCGACCTTCGAAAACACCGGAGACTTGCTTGTTCAAAAGCTTGCTCTATTCTGTCCCTTCCAATATACGCCCATTCTCTCAATCTCGCTCGATAATATACGCGTCTACCTGTATTCTGTCATAGTTCCGCTCTTCGACTTCACGTTAAATTCACACCAGTGGGTCATCCAGCCTCGCCTCAAGAACACACGATCGAAGAATATTTTTTGGCACCAAACCAATCCACAATTCTTCAATCATTTGCTCGCTCCAATCTTTGAAGTTACTGTATTTCTGGGATTACCAACTGAAGGTTAGTTTGCGTCTGAAAGAATTCCTGTTCTCGTCCCCCGCCATCGTACATTGTGCTGATGCCCCGTCCCTTTGCATAGCAATTTCATGCCGACGCTCGCCTATCCAGTTCATATTCTCCGCTCTATACGCAGCTCCACCACAAAATCTTGGAGACGTTAACTCGTTCTTCAAATTCTGTTTCATACTTCCGTCCAGGACAAACGCCTTCTCTTCTGCTGCTCGTTTGCAACGCATCTAGAGAGCCGTCTTGTTGGTATAACCCCTCCACCATTGGACTTCGTGTGAACAACCCCTCGACAAATCAATTTCACAGGTATGCTGCTGCTGTCTTCCTCCCAGAGTTACATCCCACCTTGCACATACCCCTCACTTTGGGAAAAACTTTACTTCCAATTGAGCCATACTTTACATCTTGTCTCACACAGTTCACCTTCCCGAACCCCTCGGAGATGAGCACTTCACTAACTCGTGTACCTGCATAGATCCCGTCTTCGAATTTACTATAAGCGTCACCTCGACATCTTTGAGCAAGTCCGATTTCGAACTCAAAAACAATTTCTTCCTCTTGTCGGCTTCTTCAATAGCCATTTCACTCTTTAATTCCTTCTCGTCTTCAGTTTATACAGTCTAATATCTCCTTTCGCCAACTACAATACAGCTCATTAACTTGATCTGTATTCACATTCCTTTACTATACAACCATACCATTCACACGTTCATACCGAACATCAGTTCTTGAAGGTCCTGGAGATCTTGAGAAAGTCCAATCATTTGAACCAACTCAATCCACTACCTTCCTCAAGGACCTTTTTACCTTTCACACCTACCACACATCGCCAGGCTCGTTGCCCTACCACCCACCATGGCTTATATCAACATGGCTCCTCACCAACCATGTGATAGCTACTTTGTCGAAACCGAGGATACTACGTGCGTCATCTCTACGGCAGAACGCCTTCAGTATGAGTCCATTATCAAGAGGCAACGACAAGAACGCATTGCAGATGAGCTCTCTCAGGAAGTCCGTGCCGAGTACCTGCCAGAAATCGTCGATCATATGGCAGCCATGGAGGTAAGACATTCTTCTTGGTATACGTGGCCTGGTATATCATACTGACTCTTGCAGAAACAAACTCTCCCAGACGTTGCTTCGATCGATATCCAAGAGGAGATCAAATGGTTTATGCGTCCGTACCTCGTTGACTTCTTAATTGAAGGTCATACGTTTTTCCAACTCCTACCCGAGACGATGTTCCTCGCCATGAACCTCCTCGACAGGTACTGCTCCCGTCGTGTCGTCTACAAGCGTCATTACCAACTCGTTGGCTGTGCCGCCCTGCTCATCGCTGCCAAGTATGGCGACCGCAAGGACAGGGTGCCGCTGATCCGGGAGCTCAAGAGCATGTGCTCCATGCTATACGACGAAGAGATGTTCACCCAGATGGAGTGGCACGTACTCAACACCCTCGACTGGGTCATCGGACATCCTACCGTGGATAGCTTCCTTCAACTTGCACTCTCTAACGCTGCCGAGGAGGACATCGAGCTCGAGCACATGGCTTGGTACATCTGCGAGATTGCCCTGTATCACAGAGACTTCGTGTCCACGAAGCCCTCTGTTATGGCGCGAGCTTCGCTGACCCTTGCCCGTGCCATCCTTGGCCGCCGGGAAGTCGTCTACGCAGATTGGGGCCACGATGACAACATCACTCTGGTGGCGTTGTCCCAGCAGCTCAACCAGCCATCGAAGATCCTCGCCAAGAAATACTCTTCGCCTTACATGTCTAGTGCTTCGACTGTTCTGGAGAAATTCATGGAGCACCAAGCCGCCATTGCTCGCCGTTCATCTCCACCAACTCCTCCAAACGACTTCTACCACAAGTCGGTCGAGAACAACGACCACATATACCACACTCCACAAAAGCCTTCGAACAACCCCACGATGGCGAATGGTTATATCACGCCGCCGATTACTCCTGAGGGCGATTACAACCTAGCAGTAGGCAACAACCCGTACCAAGGACACCCGCAAAGACGTCCGATCACACCGTCGCCTGTCAGCAACGACGTATACCATCACCACCAACAACAACAGTACCACCACTATCAACACATCTGATCGTTGACAGCATGGCTGGTTTGGAGCGTTATCCCGGTATAATGACCGCAAGGTCGCTACACCTACCGGGTCTCCTCGACAGTGACGCCAACTTACGGCATCGACTGTGCGAGGCACCCTTTCCTATGTAACACAAGCACGTATATTAAGGCATCAGTGGCATAAGCGAATCTTTTCCAACTTTACGGCATTAGCGATTTACTACTCGTCTCGTTTTGTCATTTCAAGCGGTTATCATATCTTTTGCTTTTTTTTTATACTACTCAATACCACCTCATACCCCAATATTCCCGGAAACAAACAAACAACAAAACGAAATCAAGGGTTATAAAAAGCCATTTGGGTGGGCATTATCGCACACAACGGCAGCATTGGCTGGGAAGGAAGGAAGTTAATTCCAGTTTGGGGCTTCTTCTTTATTAGGTCTTTCCGATAAAAATTGTTTTTGTGCTTATTCGAAGAGAGCGAAAGACCAAAAGAGTTGAGCAAGGGGGTAGCAAGCAACGGTTGGTTGGGAAAGTAAAGAGAGGTGGGAAGTGGTAAAGGCCGGAGAGAGCTGTTGTGTATACCTGGCTTTATAAACCTTCTTCTGCGAGCAGAGAGGGTGTGGGGGAAGTTCCCAAGACTTTTTAAAGAGAGGGCGATATATCTGGAATAATGAAAGATATTACCATCTGACTTGCATGACTTTTTGATGTGACTTTTGTGGTCTTCTTGGAGCGTCTTTTGTGATCTTCTTGCTGTGCCTTTTGTGATCTTCTTACTGTAATATTTGTGATGTCTTTGTTTGTGTTCTCGATTTATATATTCCACCAGTGCCATAGATAATATTATAGTAGAAATATATGTTCACCATGACTCTTGACCTATTACCAAAAATCTGCAAGTATATCGCCATCCGCGTAACATCTCAACCCAATGATTTAACTCCTCAACATCTCACATCTCCTCATCGGACCCAAACCCCTCGCTCACTTTCCAACCCCACCATCAACCTCCCACATAGCACACCACAAAATAGCAGATACCATCCACATCCCCAACCCACAGGCACAACAATACAATACCAACCCACGAACCAGCGCCGCAAAAACCACCCACCCCGAAACCCTCTACCACACACGCAACTACACTACGCTTACTGAAACCACCGCACACTCCTCACAAACAGCCAAGTCCCTTAACACGGCACAGCTAGCTGCCTGCACAAAACCTCCCCCCCGAAAAAACGCCACAATAACTATCACCGCCCGATTCTCGGCGTTGACGCCCCGTGCGGGGGATGCATCCCTTGGCGGCTGAGATGAGCCTCACGGACACGCCGCCGCGAGGTCATCACAGTCCACCAACGGCTTACGCCGTTGGTAGCGGGGTCATCGTATGATATACAGTTAGGGGGAGCAAATCCGCGTCAGGACCGCGGCGCGCCCCGCTCGGAAGCTTCCATTTCTTCGTTGGTATTACCTTAGAGCGTGACGGACATTCAGCCGCGACGTGTTGCAGCAGCGGAGACAGCGGAGATAGAGTAGCTAGCCCCTCTATATCCACACTGAGGAAAATTTTTGCGTGTCCATAGTATGTTATGTTATGCAGCTCGAACTAAAAGAGAGGGGTTTTGGGTATAATGGTGGGGGTCGAGGAGGAGAAAGTTTACTTAGTAGGTAATTTAGGTAACGCGGATTTTTATGAACGCGGTCGCGGTCGCGGACGCGGACACGCGACGGTTTTCACACGGACGCTCCCGGGCTGGGCGGCGCTGGGCTGGGCGCCAAGAACGGGTCAAGTTTGTGGCGCACGTGTGTGTGGGTGGGACCGTGGCTTTGGGGGCGTTTTTGGGGGGCTTGTATTGACGACAAGTGTGGTGTGGTCGTGTGTGTGAGTTTGTGTTTTATTTCGATAATTGTAAATCGAGAGTTTGGGGTGTCGTTGGGAGTGAGAAGTGAGCAAGGCGTGAGGATAATTGTTGAGCGACAACGATGATGATGGATGGGCGTAACATGCGTCGGTGTCGGTCGGCGCGCCGACACGGAAATAACAACGGGGAATCACGTAAACAGAGCGGCTTGAACATGACTTGATTAATCTGTGAATTTGTATTCCAAAAAAAAAGGCAAAAGACTAGACTGGGTATTCAAAGACTTCCGCATCCGCAAACAAACAACAAAAGATAACTTAAAAATACAGCAATATTGTGCTTGCTAATGAAAGTGTGTGACTTTTGGGGAGGACAACTCTCGCAAGATGAACAATGAATGCTTTGATGAGAACTGGTTACCACGAAACGTGAACACGCATGTAGCAAACCAAGAACGTAGTAAAAGGACAGTCGGTACTCGAAAATATGGCCAAGAAAGAGGCGCTTTATATTCGACGCATTCTGATAATTATTAAAAAAAAAGCAGCAGAGCAGCCCAATCGATCAAAAATCCTCATAACAAAAATAAACTTCCCACAGTAGCGCTTTCGGAATGTTTCCAGGTTTTTTACATATTCTCTTTCAAAACCGTCAAGATCCTAAAAAACGACGAGGCCAATGTTCCATTCTTTTCTATACAAGTTGTTCTTCTCTCTTGTACTCTCTCTCTCGCGCGCGCGCAAAATCACGGAGCTGCCAACACTTCTTTAGACGGTCTCGCGGTCGGTCTTGGTGACGCGTGCCTCGCGGCCCTTGTCGGACCAGGGGAAGTGGGCGACGGGGATGATGAAGAAGGAGTTGCTGGGGGTGATGTTAGTATAAGAATATCAGTAGAATCACGGTAATAATCAAACGTACCTAGTATCGGCAATACCAGCAAGGGCGTTGTACCAAGCCAAAAACGCAGCGAGCAGCCCAAAAACACCACCCGCCTTGATGCAACCCACCTGCGTAGTCCTTGGCTTTCCAACACCAGCATCCTGCAATTGCAAGTGCCCAATAGTGAGGAAGAGGAAGGCAAGATCCAGGGTGAAGAACAGCAGGAAGAAGGCCACAGTCGAGCGAAGCGTGCAGATCAGGAGAATGGTGGTGAAGATGAACCAGCCGGCGAGGTAGAAGCCGATGGCATGGTTGAAGTCGTCCTTGTCCTTGTAGGCGTCTCCGATGGCGAAGCCGCCGGGGGTCAGGATGATGGCGAAGGAGAGCCAGAAGCCGCCGTAGGAGGAGAGCGCGGTGGCTCCGAAGGTGTTGCCGACGGCCATTTCCCTGGGGTTGGGTGGTTAGCTGCATGCAGGCTTGTGTGACGGGGGCGGAAATCGGGAGGTGTGGGTATGTATGTATGAGCCCGAAATGTATGCATCCGAGAGGCGTGGGTACGCCTGTATGCGCCCGGAGACGATGAAGAATGTAGGGGGGATAAAAATAAACAGAATTGCAGCAGAAGGTCTACATACCACATGCCCGCGAGCAATTGGACGAGTCCACCATAGCCAAAAGCGAGACAAATAATGAAGTTCGGCGCGGTAACGCCGCGGGTCTGGAGGTTGATCAAGGAGAGGACGAAAGTGGTGAGGGCGAAAGCCGACAGGCCCAGCGGCGCCGGGTTGGCGAACTTGCGGTGGGAGGTCTCCTTGTACAGACCGGGCTGGAACTCACCACCAAAGGCAGGGAGACGACGGACGGAGTCGTCGGTGTGGGAGTGGGCGAGCGGGTTTCCGCCATAGTCGTAGGCGCGGACCTCGTTGAGGCCGTTGGAGGCGGTGGTGGTGTTGACGGCGTTGATGGTGGCCTTGTCATCGACCGCTACGGGGTCGGCGGGGACGGTGGACATGGTGGCGGTGGGTTTGGGTGGTTTGTTCTTGTCTTTGTTTGTGAAGGATTGATTAATGGAGGGGATTGAAAGGGGTTCTTCTTCTTCTTTTTCGTCCTTTGAGGGTTGTTGGTGAAGTGGCAAAGCAATGGACGCCAGGAAGCCGGAGGAGGGAGAAGGTGAGAACGACAAAGAACGAGAGAGTCACTGGGTGTTTTGGGGGTGAGGGGGCAAGAGTGTGAGATATATACAAATTTACGCGAAACGATATATTGGGGGAGAGAAGGGGGGGTAGGGGGAGGAGGAAGAGAGGAGGAGGAGGGTGGAGGGTTGTTTGGGGGAGTTTGGAGTGAATTTCCTGGGGTTGAGGGTGGATGGATGGGGGGATGGATGGGGATGGGTACATGGGAGGCGAGTAGAGTACAGGTAAGTAATGTACTACATTAGGGTGTATACTCCGTTAGTGGGGTACTTGCAAGTGGTGTACCAATCCCCCCAAATCCCAGTAGTTTTTCGGGGGGAGGGATATAGACAGTAAGTTACTCTAGTTACTCTAGTTACTCTAGTCAGGTCTAGTTGGGGAATAGTGGAATTGCTGTGTCTTAGGTCAAGATCGTAAGGCTCCAAGGCCAACATTTATACGGAGCAGGGGATGGATGGGATGGATGGATGTACGGAGTACCCGCACGGCACTTTAGAACAGAGAAGGAGAAGGGAGTTGGAAGGGAGTTGGAAGGGGAGTTGTGGCCAAGGCTGTGGGGGATGGGGGAAACAAGGCGGCAAGTGAGATACCAAGAGAAGAGGCCAAGACTAGAATATACCAAGGCGAGTATACCAAGACTGCTATTACTCTACAGTACTACGCGGTCGAGGCTGGAGTGTATTCCGGCTGATAAGAGAGCTTCATTTCGGGCGAAACTGTATGTAATTACTCTGGGATGACATATTGCAGTAGACATATTACATATTACAGTAGAGTGCCGCCTATTTAGTTTTCTGCTGGGATACATAGCTCGCATACAGATTGGATCCCTACTGTAACGAAGAGTAGTCTGCTCAAAGGAGTAGAGTACTTTCCCTAGGGTAGTAGTGTCTGTCGAGGCGCATGGCATAATTAGGCGCGGCCATGGGTGTTTCCCCGGATGGATGGCCTTATTGGTAGCCTCGGACGGGGGTAGTCTCGGACGGGGGGGTATGATGAAGCTGGGGAGCGACGGATGAAAGGAAGAGCATTGACAGGATGGATATACTAGTAGGAGGAGTAGTGGTGGTGGTAGTGGTGGCGGTAGTAATGTAAACCCAGGACGGGGTGAGTTGGAGATATTGTGGGGAGAGGGGAGAGAGTACCAGAGTTTGGTCCGTATGGTTCGGTAGGTAGGTGTAAGCCGTGATGGGCGGGGGGGGGGAATTGAAGTGAGTGAGTGAGAGTGAAGTGAGAAAGTGATGGTGGACAGAAAGAAGCAATGGAGATTCTATAGTGTATTGACTGTAGAGTAGAGGTAGAATATATTCTATAAACTCCCTATTAGGAAGAATCCATCCCTAGTTGACTGCCTGGACTTGCCCGGGAGTACAATTGTCCGTTGTCCGTGGTGAGTGTAGAGTAGAGTATTACTCTGCTGTCTGTACTCTTTCTACCGCCTGGACCATGAAAAGGGGGATGAATGATGGGCATATACAGTAACTCACTAGAATGCAGAATACTTCTGTTGGAGATGGGCTGTGCGTGTGGGTGTGTGGAGGCGTGGGATGATGATGCCCCCGTCGGTGATGGTGGCTGCTTCTACTGTACTTCTCCTTCGGTATGTCGTATGGTATGGGCGGTCCGTCATGCACGTCCAGCGTGGGTCGTGGGTCGTGGGTCGAGGATTAGCAAGAAAGGCTAAACCACTATAGGGGGGTATGGCCTTAGTAAGTTACGGAGTGGTAAGGAGGTGATTGGATGGGAATTAGATGGATTGGATGGGGATTAAACAGAAAAAAGATGGCTTGCAGGTAAATGGAGAGCTTACACGATGTTATTCCCAGGGCTATTCCCAGGGTAGTTTAGCCTTTAAACCCTGGATCTCTTAACTTACCCCTCCCTCCTGCCCTCCTGTCGCCGTTTACCAGTTACATGGGGGGCTAGTAGATGGAGATGGGGGTCATGGTCAGGACATAGGGTAACTGCAATTCTAGTATCTCTGGGTAGGTACCAGGGGTGAGTGTACACTTTTTACGAGTGGTGCTGGTGGTGTTACTGTACGTATGATTACGATGAGAGTCATCGGTCTCATAGTAATCGTACATACCATACGGTTATACCATACAGTAATACCATACAGTAGTGGTCAAGATAGTCAAGATATTCAGTCTGCGATCAGTAGTAGTAGTCAAGACATTCAGTCTTCGATCTTCAGCTTTCACCACAGTACATCTGTAGCATCTGTAGCATCTATACAATAATACACTCCTGTCCTGTATATCCAGAGCACAACCGCCGTGTTCAACCTGACGATAAAACACACTCCCCCTCCTCCTCCTCTTCCACTATACACCCCATCCCATACTGGACATCCCATACGCACTCTACTCAAGCTGACGTGTTGTTGGACCCAGCGTACATGTTACACCATACATACAATTTACACTACGTACAACCACCAAATGCATGGTAACCGCGTTCAAGCTAACGCCAAGGTATTCATTCATCTCCAATCGAATAGCCACCGCGAGTACAGACAGCGCGTACTCGTACAGCGAGCGATACATGACTTCAGGTCGCGACAGGACAGGGCATCTATACGCATCAGCTTGACGAAAACCGAAGAATCCGAACAACCACCTCCTTTCGTCGCACAGTATCACCACACATCCCCCCCGCCAAAAAAATCGGAGTACTCCAAAAATTCACGGCCCTCAGATCCCCAAAACAATACCTCCCCCCGAAGTACCGCAGATCAACGAAACTAATATGACGAACCCCATTTATCCGGCGAAATGTCTTCCGTCCTCTAACCCCCTCCCATCTAGCCTCACCGAGGTCGTGCGTGCGTGCGGGGATGGTGGCTGGCTGGCTGCAGGATGCTTACTTACATGGGATGTGGATTGGCGATGGCGATGGGGGGGAAAGGAAGGAAGGGAAGAGTGGATGTTCTTTCCAACAACAACAAGCATCCAGCCCCAATGGAAAGTGGCTTTTCTTTGCCCTATTGGCATGGCCCCGTTTGGTGATGGAGGATCAAATCTCGGGTGATCATGCCCTTGTCGTTCTGTCGCGGCTGCTTCTGGTGCTTGCTTCAGCTGGTGGTGGATGACAGAGGAGAAAAAAATCTTAACTCCCAGACCAGACCAGACCAGACCGGGGATCCATACGGATATTAGCTGACTATCGCCGCCGCCGACGGTCGAGATGTGCGTGCGTAAGTGCGTAAGTGCGTGCTACAGAATTGACAAATCCCTTACTGTACTCGCCGCCGTCTTTGTGCTGTTGGTCGAAGCGCCAGATTGGCTGCTTCTACTACGGTTCTGGTCCTGCCCGTGCGGAGTCACATCATCATCAATCACATCGTCGCATACAGTCCACATACGAACTATAGCTGAGCTGTGCGCACGCACGAGCGAGAGGGCGAGTGAGCTACACCACTGCTGGTTCGGTGGTACATGACGCGACTGCAGCAGGGTCGGAGTCGGGGTTAGGGGAGAGCGAGCGATGGTTGATCGGCACGCACATGACATATTGTGTAGTTCTCCCTCCCATGCAAGGTTGAGGTCTCGGTGAACTTTGGCGTCCCGAGGCCGAAGGGACGAGGGGAGCTTGGGGGGAGTCTTGCCACCTTCCGCTTCGTGGTGTGTTGGTGTTGGCGCTGGTGGCTATAAATACGTGTAGGACGGCGGTACGGTACATGCATCCCTATGGAGGTAATCTCGTAGCATACAGTGACTGCATACAGCGACTGTGTTTTGTAGATGCTAGGTAGGGGATGGTGTCACGTTTCAGCTTGATTGGTGTGTTGGTTTGGCTATTTCAAGACGAAAAGGAGTAGCTGTCGCGATTTACCCACCAAGCACAGATCTGATGAACATCCCATCTCGCAACACCCCACCCCACCCCATCCCATCATCCCCGAAGCTTGTAAAAAGCCGACATGAGACAAATAAATGTAAATGTCTCTACTGAAACCGATAGTCCCACCAGCGGCCAGATGAGCGCCGCACACGCACATCCACCCCTCTGCCGCGTGCTGAACATCCCTCCTCCATCTGGGAACTCGTGGTGGTTCCGCCGTAGCCCGATCGGCAGCGGGGAGATCGCCGGCTGCTGATCTTGGCTGGCTTGTGTGCTGTAACGGCAGTTAGTTTTTCGTTAAGTCGCCGAGGCCTGGGTGGCTGGCTATATTTCTTGGCGGGTCCTTGGAAAAAGGCGTGGAGAAAATGAAAATAAATAAAAATTTGGGGAGAATGGGTGTGTGTAGGTAGGTGGATAGAGGCCCCTGATTTGCATCACGACATTTTCTTGTGCTGTGCTGGTGTCCGGAAACTGGGTATGCTATGTATGTATGTAGGTTGCCGCCATCGGTGAAACAGCGAGCTGACCCGTTGACGCCACGGATCCGAGACAGGAGAGAGCGTTCTGTACGGGCTGGAGAACACGTTGCACGGATGCTGGTGCGATGGCGCCGTAGCCGTGTGTTTAATGGCGATGTTACTGTGTCGTTTTCGGGTTGGTTGTTGCGGCGGCTGCAGATTAAGTGCGGGTTCTGTTCTGGGGGCCCTGTGGGCGGGTAAATGAGAAGGTTGCGGTGAGGGTCGGGCATGAGAGGATTTGGACTTTGGACCCTTTAGACTTGGTATAGTATGGTATGTATGCTGAGGAAAGACGGTATACATGGTTCATATATACAAATGGGTAGCAAACTTTATACCCGATTATATTATATTTCGTGAAATAATCCGAGTATAATTAAAAAAGCACTATTATATTTCCACCCAAAATGATAAAAGATATAATTTATAATCTACTCTCTCCTCCAACTACGCCTCCCTCCCAGTACTCTCGCACCTGCTGCGCTCACCGTGAGACGCTTGGTCCTTCCACCCCTTCCACGCTGCATAACTCCGCCCAACGGATCTCCCTGGTCTTGCCTCAGTGCACCTGAAAACCCGTAGTAGCAAAGAACGCCTTCGCAGAGCCATGATCTCGATGTACGCCCTTCAATGACTGTTCTTTCCATGGTTTACCCTTAGCCCTGTCGTTTTCTCATCTCATTGGGAGATGGCCTATTTCGTCTTCCTTCCGGTCCCGGCGGCTGCTCGTCATAATCCGTTTGATTCGGAAAAGAATGCTTACTCTTTTGAGTGTCGATGACAGAAAGCGAGCTGGAATTGCGAACGGAGTCAGTGGCTTTTACAGCTCCAAAACGGCTGCTATAGCGCTTATCAGTCAAATCCCGAAGACTCTCTGCCGTCATTGAGCCAACTAGTTGCGCTGAATTGCCTTTAGACACTGCTTTCTTAACATCAAATAGATCCGCTAAAGTCGTTACTACTACTTGATCGCTTTCACCATCGGCAATCACCTCTCCAATTCTGTATATCTTTTGATGTGAAACTTCGCTAGCCACTTTGCATACGTCTAAGCACTGCTTCGAAATGTTGATTTCGTTTTGTAGGCGTATTCTATCATCGCTGTTATTAGGGTCTTCCTTCAGTAGGGACTCCAAGCGTTCCCGAAGGCGGCCGATGGTTTCCGCAAGGCTGTCTCGAGTTCCATCCAGAGTTTGTCGACTTAGCAGCTTTGCTTTAAAGTCCCGCATGTCATCCTCGATAGTGTTTTGAGACGCTTCTTGTAATAGGATTGATTCTCGATGTGCCAGGGATTCGATACGCGCCTTTGCGTCTTCACAGATTAAAAGACATTGCTCGGTTACTGCTCTCTCATCATCTAGGTTGATGCTAGTGGCTAAGGTATTCGTATTTGAAGGGGCAAATCTCTCCATTTTTTCATTGATTCGCTCCAAGTGAAACTCGAGGTTATATACCGTATCCTGGATCATCTCATTGTACTCCTGAATAACCTGGTGGGAAACTCTAGAAGTATTCCTTATAAAAGAAGTCAGTACAGTCAATGGGAGACAAAGGTACGGTAACAAACATAGTAATAGTGCCTAGGCCGACCATTATCGTTGATTTATACCCTGCAATGGTGTCTATAAATTCATTGATGTCGCCTCTCATGAATTCCATCTTCGTCCAGTCTCGGAAGCCTGTCTTTGATTTTTCATTGAACACCTTCATCGATTGTTCAAACTCGCTACATACTTTGGTGCATCGATCAATAGGGCCTTGAAGAAGCTTCATCACCGACGTCTCAGCATTAATCACTTGTGTTAGAGATTCCAAAATATTCGTGAGATCATCAAGCTCCTGTTGAAGCCTACTTAAAGTCTTGTGGCGATCTTTGAACCTTTTGACAGTTTCGTGAAGAGACTTCGCCGACTGAATGGCAGCCGTAACAACGGCCAGTGTAGTGCTCAAAGGGTCTGCCATTTTCAATGTTCGTTGCAAGATCTCTACAATATCGCAATGTAGCGCTGTAGCAGGAATATGCTGCCAGTTGAAGCTGTGTAACTACAACTTTAACTATCGATCATAGCCTTGGGTGCCCTATGGTGAGGAAATCATGAAGAGGGGTGACAGAGGACGATGGGAACACGTATTGTACAGTATCAAGGATCTCATCTACTGGCCAATCATCACATGCCTCGAGCCGCCTGTATTTTGCAGCCAGAACCTGCAACCAACATGCCGCGTGCACGAGTGAAGAACATATTGGCATTCTGACAGCGGATTCACAAGGGCCAAGAGAGCTACAGGAACTAGTGTAAGGACAGTCACCTGTAATTCGAAGGCACTATTATAGAAATATACCTTAAGGAGCAAAAGTGCCGCTCAATCAGGGGGGGCTTACAACACCATTGTCTTCGCTCCAATAATTAGTTAGCGGCTAATCTTTAGCACGTGATGAAAATTTTGGGTGTTTGGCACTGCATAAAGCAGCAACTCACACCCTACATATCTGGACATCTAACCACCCATCCAATCACACCCGCATCAAAAACCACTCAACACCACCACCTCCCCCGACCACGCAGCCGCCAGCTCCAACATCCATGCACGGCACTCAATACTACGATACGTATGGCGAGTCTATCAAGATCTAGACCTGACCCAGGTTAAACTCCGGCAAGTATACCGATTCCGACGACCGACGTCCAGTATCAAACAGGTCTCGTGATAGCGGCGCTGTGTCCGAGTTTGGGATATAAATGGTGTATTACGAGGCGGATATTGAAGTAATGAAGCTGGGCGTCGGGCTGGGCGTTGAGATTCGAGAGAAGGCGGGGTCGAGATACCTCCCCCCCAAGGCGTCAGGGCAAACTACACTGCATACCAACAGCCCTCGAGGCAAACCGCCATACTGCATACTAACCCTCGAAGACTGCATAATCGAGGCTCAAGCTGCAGGAAGCAATCACCTCCCCAAGCGCGCACAAACACCGAGTATCCCCACAAAACCGAAGCTGAAAATATGATAAAAAAACGTTGTAAATTCCTCAAACCCAAAAGGCTGATATTAAATAATCTATCTATCCAAACTCGCCACCGTTGTTTCATCCCAGCAGAGCCGCGAGGCTTCTATGCTTGGGGTGGAAGTGCATCTAATGCTGCTGCAAACGCCCCTTTCCTATGCTCCGAAAAAACGTTGTAATCCCATCCATCCCTGATATGCTCCCAAAAAACGTTGTAATATCCCTCTTTCCATGCACCCGGAACGTTGTGACATCCCGTCCGTGCTCGTAAACGTTGTAATATCCCATCTCATTATCGTATTCATCCATGTCCCCCAAAAGTTTATCGTATCAATCTCGTTATCGTATTCATCTTCCCATTATGAGAACCCGTAGTGAGCTCTACCTCTTGTAAGAGGAGCCGCCGTAGTAGCGCGATGCATCGCCAGAGCGTGGCTCGGCTGGGTCGCTCATCCGCTGCTTGTGGTTGGTGACCTGGACGTTGTTGCGGGTCACAGAGTAGACTCCGTCGTTGCTGCCATAGCGGCCTGTGGAGGATGTGTTAGTGGTTGAATATGAAGATGTCGTCTGGTGGCTGGATTTACCTGAGGACTCGGAGACGGGAACTCTGTAGTCGACATAGCTAGCGGATCCGCGCGAGCTGACGGAGGACGAGGATGTCCGTGGTCCGCCATAGGAGATGTTCGTGGTGGTGTATGAGCGGCTAGACATTTTGAGTGTGGATTGGGAAGCTTTTGTGAGGGTGGTGCTGTTCGTGTGTGGATTGGAAATGCGTTTGGAGTGGTGATACTGTTGGCAGTGCTTGATGCGATGGTAACAGGATTGAATGAGGATTGGAATAAGAAACAGAGAGGAAGAGCAAACCTTATATACGGCTTCCATTGACAAACATATCTCAGACTTACAAGTGGTGCCTGGATTGAAGGGAGGCTAAGCTTAGCTCGCAACTCACCGAGGGCGCCAGCGCCAGCGCCGGTGACTCCATTGATTGCTTGAGCCTCACCGAGTTGGCCTAGGCGCATCGCCAGGCCAAATAGCAGTGTATGATTGACTGCGCCCTGCTTTGCCGCCTGACAATTGGCAAGGCAGCGACTCAAAGAAATGACTCAATGCCGACCAAGCCATTCCTCACCGAGCTCTAATGACGATGGAGAGCGGAGCACTGATTGAAAGGAGCGAGGATGCTACTCTCTTGGTTTCAACCCAGAGACAAGCCAGCCAGGCGACGAGGGAAACATTGACGTTTATTCGTTCCTGAGGCCAAGGTACAATGGAAGCCTTGGGAAACCCCAGGCCCCCCAAGGCTGCAGAGTATCAATCGGGGCATGGGCAGCGAGCGGAGCAGCGATTTTGCCCGGTGGCTATCAGGTGCGCTGCCTAAACCAGCGTATGTTGCGGTTGACTCAAGCGCGCAGTTTGCTCCGCCGAAAGCCTTAAGAGTCATCCTGGATCTGGGGCTGAACGACAAGGCCCAGACTGATAAGAAGAAGGGCGCGGACAATAAGAAACTGGGGAAACAACATATATTTTTTTTTCATGCAGCGCAATGACGATATTGAGACAGACTACCCCGCATGGTAGTGGATATGATCGAGAGAGCAGACGAGCGATAAAGGCGCGCCCAAAGGTGGCCCAACACGAAGTCGGAGAGAGGTAACTTCGTGTTCGCGGGGGGGTTCAGCCTAGTCACGAGACATTGCTGCCTTGTGGAAAGTACTGAACGCCTGCCTGGTGCGAGAGAGAGAAAGAGAGAGGTCACCCAGATGAAGCTCAGCCACGCAAGGCGACCTTTTGCTGTTGCTATGGGCGAAAAGCGAAAATGCCTCGATATTTGTTGAGATGAGTGGTGTGTGAATGGAATCAACAATCACGATCAACCGATGGAGTACAAGAAGTGATGAATGCGAGTTGTATTATATAAGCTATGCGGTGGTCAGCGGCTCACCTATCACACCGATCACGTGTCTACCATAACCGTCCAGGCACATATGCCACCTTGACCGCTGATAAGATAGCAATCCCCTGTGAAACCAGATTGATCGACCGGCCGAATGATGGAGATAGGAATTCTAGTATATACGTGCAAAAAGGCTGAATTGAATAAAATATTCGGAATCTAGTACCCCATGAGAACCTGTATATGCATACTATTGAATTTACCCTCTAAATTGTGATGGCGAGAGGGACCAATTGTAGAATCAGTGGCCGACGTAACCCTGTTAACCGCATCGTGTCCACAAAAAGGTACAGCTCTCCCACCGCCATTGAACCCCTCAACCTCCCATTCTCATTTCCACCACCAACTCAATCAAGAACAACTGTTCTATACAAACCACCACCATGCGTTTCTCAACACTTTCAATCGCCGTCCTAGCTTCGGCTACCTCTATCGTTCTCGCTGCCGACCCGGAGCTGAATATTGAGGTCACCAGAGCCGTCGAGTGCGAGCGCAAGACGCAGAGGGGAGACAAGGTCGATGTCCACTACAGAGGCTCGCTCCAGGCTGATGGCTCGGAATTCGATGCAAGCTACAACCGTGGCTCGCCATTGAGCTTCGTTGTCGGTCAGGGACAGGTTATCAAAGGGTGCGTATACGCTGCTGTCCTTTGAATGTGCCACAACAGCAGCTAACACCCTCTCCAGATGGGATGAGGGACTCCTCGATATGTGCATTGGAGAGAAGAGGACTCTCACTATCCCCCCCAACCTTGGCTACGGAGACAGAAACATGGGACCAATCCCAGCCGGCAGCACACTGAGTATGTATTCCCCCCCTCAGTTGTCTTGGCCGCCACTAACAAATACTAGTCTTCGAGACCGAGTTGATGGGCATCAAGGGAGTCGAGGCTCCAGCCAGCATTGTCCTTAAGGAGGCCGCCAGCGAGGAGACCGAGGGAGTCAAGGAGAAGATAAAGGCTAAGATTGAGGATGCGGCCGAGGCGGTGAAGGTCACCCTCGAGGATACCGATGCTGGTGGACAGGAGCACAATGAGCTATAAGAAAGATATACAGATTGAGGAGACATAGGAATGATCGTACCGACTATATCCAAAAAGCCTACAATTACATACCATTACACAGAAATTGTGTGATACAACTGATTATGTACCATCCCGTTTGAACTCCTCAAAAAGCAAGTTCACCGAGCCATGTGCATACATGACGATTTGCGTCCCTATACATTCGAAGACATTAATATAGCTAAAGGGCTTTAATTAAAAGATAGTCTGGTCTGTTTAGGGTCGTCTTTTAACCCAGTACGAGACTTCCCACTATCCTGCCGACCGCGCTTTGAGAGTCCTTTTCCTTTCTCTGCCGAGGCTGAAGCAGACGAAGCTTCTCGGGCGGCTTCCTTCACTAAACCCAAGATGGTCGGCCGCGATAGGCACATGTCTATATGCTCGTTACAATCCCCCATCTGCGGGCGTAGGCATATTGGGCAGTCCCACCACCTATCTTCTGACTCTGGTTTGGTTTCGGTGTCTAATGACCCCCCGCTAGGTTGTTGATTCCCGAGCTCTTCCAGTTGGCTAAGAATCTCCAGTTCCTCCAGCTCCTCTTGGTATTCATCCTTTGCAGCTTCTTCAAAGTCTTCACCTGGCCAAGCTCCCAAAGACGAAGTACCACCCGCTTCCAACGGTTCCTCCTTTGACTCATTTGTCCCAGAAGCAGGTCCACTCGACGCAGGACTGTTGCGCATTTTGGGGTGTCCAAAGAACGCCAAGGAGTCTGGCTTCTTCATAGTGATTAGATGTGTACACCTAAGGCCCATAAGTCGTAGGGTTAGGCCTTTGAATTCCTGTTCTAATTTCGATAGCATCGGAAGAGAGTATCTATACAGATCAGGGGCAAGGTAAACAGCCTTCGGTGGTATTATCTGTCGCGTCAATACCTCGTACGTATGGAGCTTGACCTTGAGCACCAGTGTTCTACCCTTGACTTGGGCCTTTATCATGTCCTTTTCGAGATCTTGTGCTGTTTTTTCTAACTTGTCACGGAGACCTTTGTGACTGCTGAGGTCCCCAAAAGTACTCTCTGTACCAACGCTTTTTCGCTCATATTCTTCAGCTGGTTGCGTATCGGTCCTTCCAAGGCCGAGGTAACAATGTATAAGGAAGTTGAACGCTTTCTCGCCGAATAGCTTGGAGAGGTACTGTCGGTACTGATAGATGTCACCACAAGTCTTGACCCCCACTGCGTCTAGTTCACGTTCAAAGACTCGTCCAACACCATTCACTTTCCGTGTCGGCAGGGTGTCCATAAACGCCATAATTGCCCCTCGATCATTCTGGAGCCTATATTGACCATTCGGCTTATTCATATTTGAGCATATCTTTGCAAGCTTTGTGTTTGCAGCTATCCCCGCCGATATAGTGATTTTGGTTTTGTCATGGACCTCTTGACGGAGCTGCTCCACAGCCTCGTCCGGAACAATATTGTTAGACTCACAGTAACTCGTAATGTTTAGGTACGCCTCGTCGATGCTGGCGCTCTCGAATCTTGGGTCGTATCGGGCAATAATCTCACGAACCTCCCGAGCTTTGGCCGTGTATTTCTCGAAATTTAGAGGTAGTTGGATCAACTCTGGGCAAAGTTTTCTGGCCACGAATCCAGCCATCCCACTCCGACATCCAAACTTTCGAGCATGGTAGTTACAGGTCGTGAGCACCCCTTTTCCCACAGCAAAGGGGACTTGTTTTAATTCCGGGCGGTCTAGTTCTTCGACTGCCGCATAGAATGCGTCGCAGTCTACATGAACTATAGTCTGTGAGAGGTCTCGGGAGAGTTCAAGCTCGGCGACATATTCGTCTGCTTTCTTCTGATCTCTCGTGAGGTTTAGTTTCTCTAGGCGAGCCTTCTTCTCTAAAATCTTTTCGATCTTTACGGTGAGAAGCTTATCCCTGTTCTCTTCATGGGTGAAGAATTTAGATCCTTTACTGGCATCGTAAATAATATCCGAGACCTGTAAGCCTTTTAGTTAAGGGCCTTCTTGGGTAGCCAGTCAATCATACCTTCTTCTGGTCCACAGAATCTTGTCCTGATTTGGTCAACGAAGGACCCAAAAGAGAGTATTTTAAGGTATCGTGTAAATTCGTCTCTTGGTCATCGTGTTCCAAAGTATTCGGGTTTGCAGTCATTGCAAATCTCTACTTTGGTCACACCGACAGTCTCATGCTAATGGCGAGGGGATTACAGTAGTCATTTAAACTGCCCATATCAAAACATGACTAAAAGAAGTGAGACACGCTCATCGACATTGAGATGATACGGATTGAAGGCCTTCAACGATTCAACCTCGACGCGACATGAACGCCACCTTACGCGAAGTCACGTGATAGACAAAGTCGATAACAGAGGGTACGTAGGTGCGTCACCCCGGATACCCCTCATTTACGAAGCTAACAATGGGGGCCAGTGTGAGAAACGAGGCCCAGCTGCTGAAGTATTTTACCAATAATTTATTGGAGTAATGAATGGCTACTTTCTATCACAGCTTATAGAGAGGTCGAGAAGACAAATGAATTTCATTTAGGAGACTAAGCTATCATTCTGTTTCATCAGATCCTTGGCTTCATCTGGTACCTTTGTCTCAGCAATGATGCCCTGTAATCAAGCGCCGCCCTCGCGTTTGGCATATTCCTCCTCGATCCTCTCCGTGTACAGATCATCCACAGAGGTAGGGTCTTCATGGAGCACACCCCCTTTGATAAGCTCTTCAGCGGTTGGTCGATGCGATAGCTTGTCGTGCAAACTGTCTCTACGCATGTGCTTTGCAAGGTCTCTCTGATGAGCAACGAGAGCGGGGGCAGCATTCGATTCAGGGAGAATGTTTCCTGGGAAGAGTTAGGGGCTTGATAACAGGTAGCATACCGAGCTTAGAATATATCTTACGCTCAACCAAGGTCTCGCGTTGACTTCTCTTTTCGAGGTCTTTCTTCAGGTTTTTGGCTGCCAGCTTGTGCTCGAGGTCAATCGCAGCTGACTGAAGCGACCTGGATGAACCCGATAATTAGCTCCCCATATACACGCATCAGAAGAGAAAAACGGGTGTGATGTGCTCACGGAGCGGCGTTTGTATCGAGGAGAATGTGTCGGTCCTTGAGCTCTTGTTGCTCCGGCCTATGTTGGAGATGCTTCTCGAGGGAGTTCTGTCGGACGCGTGCCTCCCGAACGGGAGAAATTGGGGACTCATCAACAGTTGATGAAGTTTGATCGGCCATACTGGCAGAATTAGTTTTGATAGTTAATTTGAACCTGTAACTTTTGGCTTGATTTGATTTGATTTGATTTGGTTTGATTTCAAAAGGGTTGTTGATGTCAGAGTGAGACCCTGAAACGGCGACGACAACGACGTATTGTGAACTATCGGTCCCCGTAATAGCCAACAAGGTACATTACATGGTCCGTGCTCTGCTAATATCTGGATACCCCAAGTGCACGAGGAGCTTGGCGAGCCATCGCAGTTATTATGCACCACCAACAATTGAACAGTACCTCAAAATGTATGAATTTATAACAGGTATAAATTAAATTTCTATTGAAATTTCTTGGACCACTCGCTATGTTGGATGAAGAAGTTATGATTCAACTTCAACACACTGGATCTCATTGGTAACCCTTAAGACCATACAAATAAACTGCCAAGACCTGAACATACAGCTCTGTTGTGGCACAGATACCACCATGCCCCTTACCACAGGTGAACGGGAAGTCATCGAAATTCCAGATTCTCCCACAGCTCATCCTCAATTCATCGATATCTCAGATGACGAAGTCGAAGTCATAGAGTTGTTGGATTACCAGGGTAAGCTGGCTGTACGCCAAATACGCTCCTTTCAAACAATATACTTTGGTCCTGTACAACTTTCTGACCACTTTTTAGCGAAGCAAATAAAGCCTCCACGTATTCCTCCAATACAGCCAGCTTATGTACCAAAAGCAGATGGCAACCCGGAGTCTATGAAGTCGGAGTTAGCAGATCTTTATACTCCTCATGATGCTCCGATGGTATCTCTAGGGATGGCTATGCATATTCAAAGCTTCTCGTCAGGTGAGTTTAATTTGGGGGTGGTACAGGGAACAAGGTCTATATCTATTTTTCATGTCTTTACTTTCAGCCACAATTTCGATGTTCCTCTGCTGATTTGGGGGACAGATCAGGGACATCCTGCAGGCGAAGAGTCCTGCTATGATGTACTAGATAGAGGATTGGGAGAGATTTCCCGAGAAATGGAGAAGGACCAGTCATCCATGACAAGACACACTCTCGAAGTTCAATCCCAATTCCAGGCTCAGCCTAAATTCACTGCCACAGAAAATCATATGGCCTCCATGCAGAGCATGGAAGCTCACCAGCAAGGCGGGACTTGTACTTCACCCATTGCTATTATTCACCATGTATGTGGTTCACTACATGCGGGGGTCGCAGCGTCTGACTTCATTAAATAGGTCGCCAAAAAAACACGCCCGCAAACGTTCTTGCAGGGGAAGAGTATACAAACTCCAGAAAGGGCAGTGCCGACATACAATTACTACGTCGAAATAGATCGGAGTCGACTGGCGAACAACACACGAGTGAGTTATTCCTACGAGAGGCCATGATGACCCACTAACATTAATGTAGCTGCCGCCTGAGCCATTTGTTATAAATAAGAATTCCAATTCAAAAAAAGAAGTGGAAGCTGCTCTTCGGAAGTCCATGATATCGTGTGCCAAACTTGCTAAGCGTAGCCGAGGAAGAGAAAAGCTCTCGAGTATTGGGGTATATTTACCACAAATAAGGTCGGCCTACCAGGAATGCAGGAATTATCTTGAAAAAGAGGGCCTGTATGAAACCTTCGGCCAGAAAGACGCGAATCATCCAAGTTATCATGTTGAAAAGGCATTTGGAATACCATTGGGGTCGTTTTTTGACCTTGAAACTCACGCAACCAAACCACAGAAAAGCCCGACAGTTTCTCTAGATCCATTGGCAAAGACGTTGGAAAGATACTCTCGAGAAAGCTGCCTAATTTGTTCTGCCCATCAGGTAAGTTTTGTACCCCCCTTTTTATAGTATAGCGTGCTGAGACTTTTGTGTAACTCAGTGCCACATCCATGGGAGATTTGATGAAAACGACAGTGACGTGAATGAGAGCGACTCAAGTGACACAACGGATGAAGAAAACCCGAGCAACCGGTCTAGCGCTATGTACCAGCCTTACAGCATGCCACACACACGAACGCGGACTTATCATAGAGAAGGGAACTCTATCGAAAACGAAAGCGAAGGTGACAGCGATGGTAGCGAACAAAGACGACTATACCATTGCTCTGCGGCATGCCACCTGAACCCATCCAATGAAGAGCTGGGTAACGAAGGAAATTGGACAGAAGATGACCACGCATCTATGCAGGAACTGGCTGCTTCTATGCGAAAACGCAAAAACATGAGGGCATCTTGCTTAATCGCACCCATGTTAGGCAAACAATGCTCAGAAGTTCATCGCCATCTTAAGAAGCTGAGTAACCGGCGCATTGAACTTGACGATATGGTACCTGGCGAAGGCAGAAGATCTAAGAAATTTGATTGGCGTGATTTGAAGGTAGAGTATATGCATGAGAAACGTTCTCAGCCTAGGCCTTGTCATCACCCAGGGCAAAATTGCTTCGTTGCTGGGGAGAAATGCACCTGCGTAAGCAACGGGATTTGTTGTGATAAATTCTGCACATGCCCACAAAGCTGTGACGCTCGATACCATGGATGCACCTGTACTGGACCATGCCCCCCCAAGAAATGCACATGTCGCCTCCTTAACCGAGAATGCGACCCAGATCTCTGCCACAAATGCAGCGTCGCCGAATCAGTTAGGACTCAAGGTCCAATCTCGAATACCAAGTGCCACAACTGCGAAATCCAACGCGGCGAGGGGAAGAAGGTACTGGTGGGAGAGAGCTCCATCGAGGGCATTGGGAATGGGTTATATCTTGCAGAGCCTGTTCAAACTGGCGATTTCATCGCCGAGTATGTCGGAGAGATTATTGACAACGCCGAGGTTGAACGGCGAGATGACTTTCAGAAAAGGATAGGAAACTCGTACATCTTTAATTTAAATGCGGAAGTGGCCATAGACTCTATGTGGTTTGGCAATGCTACTCGGTGCGTTACATATCTGGTTTGCACTAGCATTCATCACACCTGCTAACAATTACTATAGTTTCATCAACCACTCTGAAGTGGGCAAAAACTGCCAGGCTAAAGTCCTGCTCGTCAATTCTGAGCACCGCATAGGGTTTTATGCAACCGAAAGCCTGGATGCAGGAGAGGAGTTGTTTTTTGATTACGGGAAAGAGTTTAAGCGCATTGAGAAGCTGAAGGACGGTGTTGGGTCTTCCAATGCTGAGAGGAAGTCGGCAAAACAACAGGGAACGGAGCCTCAGGTGAGCCCTATCAAAAATACTAAGGGTGGGACGGGGGATGGAGCGGATGAGGATGACGAGCGAGATGATATATTCGAGGATTTCCCAGACTGGCTTGCAACAGCGACCAAAGGGAACCGCGCGAGGGACGATGACGAAGATTATATCGAACCAGGCTCCCAACAAGGGCCCAAGCGAGCACGACCAGCCTTGAGAAATACGCGTGGGCGCCGATAGGACGTGTTGGATAGCTCTGCCGAAGACGACTGCCATTTTTGGTCGCAGAGATAACGCCACCAACAGCTAGTCCTCGAGACTGGTCAGTCCTCCAGATCGGTGAAAGGTTGAACGAGAAGAGGTGATTTTTGAAGGATTCAGCCTCAAAGCCACGTCAACTGCAGGTTACCACGTACCACAGGAACAATCACGGGAGAGCATCATTCGGGAGAGAAGAGAGACGTGGAGTTTGTGGTTCGTGGTTCGGAGCGGAACGCAAGTGGCGATAGGGCTGGAGAGTTGTCTATATTTAGATTGGATACCCCGCCAAGGCTCACAGACGGGGGCAGTGAAGGAAGACTACTATAGTAGCACCACACAGCGCTCAAATCTAGCCTATTCTGTAAATATCAACCATACTTTCTTCTGCTCTGATATGCGCAGGATAGTAGTGTTTGTGAGCGCAATTGAGATATCCCAGCCCCGTCTTACCGTAGAGTATGCCCCCTTCTAGAGTGTAGAATGAGGTGTTTGAGGGTGATTATCGTGGTGGCTGGTATGTAGAGAGTGCAAATAGATACTCAGTACTGTACGAAGCTTCTCCGTATGTGCTCTGTCCACTCTATTCCTCTTGGCGAGAATAACTTCCATCCTTCAAATCCCTCAATCCTTCATCGCGTCTGTGTTAGAGCACCACTGTACTATAATCATTACTGCTATTAGCAAAGTATGTATATGGCAAGGTATGTGCAGGCATCATGTGTACGGTACACCACACTTCAAACTGACGGATTGACCCCTGTGGGGCAGTACTACGTACATGAGTGTATTTCAGCCCCAGTGTTGTCTCCAGTTGTTGTCTTGGGGACCACAGGGGCGCGGTTTTCGGGGGCTGAGTTCTCCACGCGTCAGCCACCGCCCTCCACTCTCCACCACACTCTCCACCGTCATGGTCATGGTACTCGCAATCTTACTGTGCACTTCTCAATATAATATGCCCGCATCCCACAGTCAGCATTGAATTTACTCTCACTACCACCTTCACCTTCATCTTCACCATCATCACGACCATCATCACGACCACACGACCACACGACCTCCTTCCACCTTCATCTCACTCACTCTCAACAACCTCCGTTGACGTTTCACGTTCAACCTTCACTCGCTCTGCACCTATCCGTCACCTACACTGTCCTACCCGTTCGGTTGAACGGAAATCTATCCCAAGATGGGCGTCGGGAGATTCTTCTGTGTTGCGCTACCATTTATTCTAACCACCATCTCCCTCGTCTGTCTCCTCATCGTTGGCCTCGCTGGTGTCACAAGCTCAAATCTGCACCTTTTCGAGGTCGCACCGAAGAACCTCAGCATAACTGCCGAGCAGTTTCAAAACTTGGATTTCAAACAAAAGGTCAAGGATGCCGCCGATGCCGCCGGTATCGATTCGAGCGATGTTACCGCTGTGACCGACTTCTCTCTCACAGCTTCTAGCCTGGGCCTCGGCGACAAGTACGACTTCTTCCTGTGGAACTATGCCGAGCTCGTGGGCGATGTCACCACCAAGAGTAAACCGACATTCGACTACGCTTCTAACTTCACCGACACGACCACACTCGAGAAGCTCACTTCGGATGCCAACATATCCGTTACTATTCCAGACGCAGTGAAGACGGGATTAAAGACTTTCGCGACCTTGGTCAAGTGGACTGAGGTGGTGTATATTATTGCTTGCGTTACGACCGCCCTCACAGTATTGGTTGGGATCGCCGGCTTTTTCTCGAGAATTGGTTCTTGCTGTACCTGGATAATCAGTGGCATCTCATGCCTTGCTATCATTGGCTTCGCAACGTTGGCAACGGTGACGTCTAGTGTTGTCGTTGGAGCCCTCACCGCATCCGTGAAGCACTACGGTGTTGAGAGTTCAATCAACACCGCGTGGCTCGCCGTCATCTGGATCGGTGCAGCTGCCTCTGTCGCCTCTGGCCTCTTTTGGCTGTTCTCGGTCTGTTGCTGCGCCAATGCGAGAAAGGACAATCGCCATAGCCGTGCAGGTGACTCGGAGAAGCTCCTCGGCACAAGAGGCTACCAACCCGTCCACGACCCATACCAGGGTTCGCCATACATGGGCCAGCAGTCGGGTGTCTACAACCAGCAACAGCATGCAATCCCAATGCACAACGTCAAGGCGGCTGATCGCGCACAAGCGTATGAGCCATACTCGCACCATGCTGTCTAAACCTACATCTCCTTTTTTTTGTTATTTTCACTGCTTGTTTGCTAAGGCGGCATTGCACGGCGTTTGGGAACTCTGCTGGTAGTAGACTGGTGGAGCGGGATTTGAAGCAATGATGTTATGACGAAATATCTCCATGCTAGAGAAAGCTGGATAGATGATACCTTTTTGTAGATAGAGTATTTTCCGACAGCTTCACAATAGAAATTGTCTCAAGCACTTCTGTCGCCGACTATTCCAACGTCCTTGATATATTTGTGACGTTACTTTGGCCAGAACATTGAAATGCGCATCGCTGTAATATCTGACCGATCTTCTCCGGCGCCATCGCTTTGATTTATTTTAGAAAGCTGTTATATGCAAGCACTATAGGTGCAGTAGTAGTCCATACGAGTTCATCAGTAGAGCGCATACAGTTTGTATGGTGAAAGGTCAGCGGATCTAGGCCCGAGATTTAAACCTTATTCGCTTATGTCATCCTGACCATTGGCCCGCCTTGACGATGATCATCAACAAACATCACTGAATTAGAGACTGTAGTCAAAACGCAACTACTCTACTGTACCGACAACTATCCGTGATCAATCACTCCAGAGACGCCTTCCACAACGCTGGCAATCATACCGCCCCGTGAGACACGAAGGCCAAACTTTGACCCTGCATATACGTCCGTCTGTTGTCGCAATCATCAAACCACCAGCATTCTCTATCAGCTATCTCCAGTCAGTTATGCCCCGTCTCTCATCGTATTATCCTTCCATGGTTCAATCTGGGGCCAAGGATGCCAACTATAGCAGTACTGACCTCGGACCATTCTAGACACCTGCGCAACCAAGTGATCCGTTATCTGGCACCATATCCCTCAGCTACGTTGCTCCACAACCATCACAGCACATCGGAAAACCGACACTGCCTGGCCTGACCTGATCCGTGGAACTCACTCCGAGGCCGCTTGTACCATTTGTATTTCTTATCGCTGTAGTAGTAAGTATTGGGCTATCCATCCTCCCCATCCATGACGTGAATGCGGCTAATGACTGGACAGGCCTTGCCTCCAAGGACCTATTGCCCAACCTGGAACCCACCTTCAAGCCAAGGGCTTCCAGAAGCGCCCGCAATTGCTACGCCGAATCCCTGGGGTAAAGCTCTTGCGACATGGGCAACCAACCGTCAAAGTCTGGTCCCGGAACTTCCGCACCCCGAAAGACTTCCTCCTCGACATCACTAGACAAGGGACCTGCGATTACTTCTCAGCCGTCATTCTCAAAGTCTGATACTGTGGGGAGCACGCGATCATTCAAGACATTAAGGTAGTTCCCACCTACGTACACAGAGACGACGTGGCACTAATTACAATAGATCGAAAATACCAGGCACCTCGAAGACCGACAGCCCTCGCGAATCATACTCAGGCCTCTCAAATGGGGACAATGACAATGATACCGGATCTGTTATGTCCGGAAGAAGTGGGCGGTCCCGAACGAGCCGCTCCGAGGACAGGTCGCCACTCGCGTCTTTTGACACGGGAAACTATGCATCAGATGCTATGCAACCTCCTCCATCGCCAATCCAATCTGCGTCTATGGCATCTGGAACACATGAAGGAGTAGCTGCTGCGCAGCAAAGTGGTGAAGTTGATGTTGTTTCCGACCAGCCGGCGTCAGGGACTCTTAACACCCACCCGCATGGACAACTGGCTGGAAAATCCATTCTGGTCAAGAAAGAAAACTCGATCAACCCTACCAATATTGATGATTTGATTGCCGCTGCCGAAGAGTCTTCGAACCAAGGCATGGGGATGGATCCCAAGTCAATTGATATTGACGATTGCATAACTCGGTTGATAGATGCTGCTTATGCAGGAAAGGTCACCAAAGGAGTCTGCCTCAAAAATGCAGAGATAACAGCTATTTGTGTGGCTGCCCGCGAGGTATTCCTATCTCAACCAGCACTTCTCGAGCTCGATGCTCCGGTCAAGATTGTAGGAGATATACACGGGCAGTACCCTGACCTGATCCGCCTTTTCGAAATGAGTGGATCTCCACCAAGCTCCAATTTCCTGTTCCTCGGCGACTACGTTGATCGTGGAAAGCAGTCCCTGGAAACCATTTTGTTGTTGCTGTGCTACAAGTTGAGGTACCCCGAGAACTTTTTTCTGCTCAGGGGCAATCATGAGTGCGCCAATGTCACTCGAGTGTATGGGTTTTATGACGAGTGCAAGCGCCGCTGCAATATTAAGATTTGGAAAACATTTGTTGACACCTTCAACACTCTGCCAATCGCAGCTATTGTGGCAGAGAAGATATTCTGTGTCCATGGTGGCCTCTCTCCGTCTCTGAGCCACATGGATGACATCCGCAATATTGCGAGGCCAACAGATGTACCTGATTATGGGTTGCTCAACGATTTGCTCTGGTCTGACCCCGCTGATATGGAGGCCGATTGGGAGGCCAATGAGCGGGGTGTCAGCTATTGCTTCGGAAAGAATGTTATCACGCAATTCTTGGAACGGCATAACTTTGACTTGGTTTGCCGAGCACATATGGTGGTTGAGGATGGTTATGAATTCTTCAACGACCGCGTATTGGTTACTGTTTTCAGTGCGCCAAATGTAAGTCTTTCGATTGCCACAATGCCCATGCCGATTGCTAATTTTTATCCACAGTATTGCGGCGAGTTTGACAACTGGGGCGCGGTCATGAGCGTCTCCAGCGAACTTCTTTGTAGCTTTGAACTTCTTAAGCCTCTCGACTCTAGTGCGCTGAAAAGCCACATTAAGAAGGGAAGAAACAAGCGCAATAGCACATTCAACAGTCCGGTAAGTTGTATATCTACGCCCTATAATACTGTGGCCCTGTCTCCCAACGTAACAAGGAATATCATAGCTAATTCGATGTAGCCTGCAAACTTTAACCCTCAAAGTGTATAGTGGGGACCGTGGCAGGCTTAATTACGGGCTCGTTCTCGAGACCCTCGTGGCATTCACACATGAACCCCATCTCCATTACAACATACATGGTGCCATTGCATCAAATTCAACTGATTCGCCTATCAGTAACTTACACTCCAATCTCAATTTATCGAGGAGGTTGTGGGTTTAGCGCACCCGATCGTAGGGGTATCGAACCATGCAGGGTTTGTCTGCGCTGGAGATTTGCCTCTGGGGTTTAACAACCCCGCGGACCCTTTCCGGGTTGCCATCATCAGTTTATGGAGGGGTAATATGCCTCTTGAGAAATCAAGAGCAAGATGCCGAATTACCCCAGGCGTTCATTGGCCCAAGTTTTTTGGGCTGCATGATAATCATCAAGGCTGCGAAGTTAGTATTCCTAATCACACCTCCTCACTGCCTCTGAACACGCTGCTGCTGTATACATAAAGGTGCGGGGTTGGAAAGTGCTAGGGGCAGATACGGCGTTCGGGACAGTGCATACAATTCTGCGTTTGATCAAAGATGGTTGGGATGCTTTTGGAGGCGAGCAATGGGAGATTGCAGATGTAGTTTATAGCTGCCAGATAGAAATTAGCCAAAGTTACAGAGAAGAACGTAACCAAATAAGATTGTATTTCGAGATTCTTGTGTGGCCTGTTCGATTTCAGCAAAAGAGGAAGGGACGTTGTTGACCATGCGAACCGCGAGTCCCATAATAAGACGACTCTCTACCCAGCCGTAGTGTGCAGGTGTCAATGGAACCAGCGAGGCCTAATTTGCACTATCGTAGATGAGACCTCAAAGTTGAAGTCCATGAAAGAAGACTGGAATTCGAATACTTATATATCAAATTGATCTAGATAGTGGTATTTAATCACCAGCCGCATGCAAACACCAATTGATCTCTTATACATCTTTCAGCTTCAAAGCTTGCCTCCTGGGACCGAGTGGACCCCCTTTCTTGCAGCTATTTCTATATAGCCCACTATGATTTTAGGCGGTTTCTATGGATTGGAAGTTCCAAGTGACCTAGCTCAGCCTCGGTGCATCTCGATATCGTAACGAGTAATTCTGGGACTGGTTCTATTTCAATGCCCTCGCGTCATAACCGCCGAAGTGGTGCCAGCAACTAATAACCCTGTTAGCTAACACAATTCGACTAGAAACAACGTTCAACCAGCTTACTTTGGTGCTTGTAGCACGTATCTGTCCATTGCTTCTCGGAAACGGCTCTTATACTCCTTCGGACTTGTTACGGTGGGCCTATTTCTGCCACCGCCGGCAAAACCACGGTCTTTGATCCAGGACTCAAGCTTCTTGTCCCAGGTGTAAGTTCTGATGCAATCGATAATTCCCACCACAAGCTCTTTCCTCGCCTCGTCAACAGCCACCATCAAAGAATAATCCATTACATCCTGCCTTGCTAAGAATAGCGTGTCGTTCCACACGGATGCTTTTAGTAACTTCTTGGAGTGCTCACGGGCAAAAAGGGGTGACTCGTAAATAAATTCGACCATGTTTTCGTCTAGAAGAACTTCATTTTGCTCACCCGTAGACTGGATTTTGCGATTGCGCATAGAGCCTTTTAGGTCGAATATCCGAGTAGGGGCACGGTCGTAAAATAGATTCTCCATGACTAGCACATCCCATTTTATCTCAGTCCCAGTGACGGGATTCTTGATGATAATCTGATAGAACCCTAACATCTTGGCGATAACACTGGGCAGCTCATGGAATAGTGCCTCGGCCATGATATTGAAGTATGCAGGAGCAAACCTCAAGAATGCTTGAGTCTCAACAGGAGACAATGATTTTAGAACGAGTCTCTCGTCAAGTGTTTTCAAAAAGACAGACTTAGTCTTGCCGCCCTTTGAATCCCACTTCAAGCATCGTGATAGTGATTCTACTATCCTATCTGACGCGCCACATTTACGGCGGACAGCATCGAATTGTTCAGCATAGAAAATCTTGCACAGCATCTTAGCAGACCCTTCGGCGAATTGGTACTTCAAATGCGTTCCAGTTGCCCTGAGCAGCGACGTCTCGACGTCAGCCTCTGCGGAGTTATAATGCTCCTGTCCGGATGTCCTCTCCGGCATGTTTGTTTGGCCTTGCTGCCGGATGGCATGTAATTTCTCAATGTAATCCTGTGAGCTTAACGAAAAGGCAATAAGGGAACTAGGCTCATCCTCCCTAACAATGACATCCGAGTCGACGAAGACATGGTCTGTGGCATGCAGCGGATATTCTAGTTGCGTCCAGCCACTTGCTGATCGTTCTGCCCAGAAGTTGGTCAGCATCTTCATGAGACTTGTTTTCTCATGTTTTGGTAAGTCAACTTCTGAGATTGTTTCGGAAACCCCTAAAGATTCCGTGATATCTTTAATACTTGGCATATCTTCTAAAAATGAATGCTCTGTGTCGCTCGCAGCAGCCTCATCATCCGAAGCTGTCTGACTCAGGGTTTGCTGGTTGTCGTCTGTTTCTACTTCTGTTACCGTGTCTTCCCCCGCGACAGAAGTATCTATATGGGCTGGAGCATCCAGTTTTGATTTGGTGTTTGCATTCGAAATGCCATCTGTTGGGCCTGTCGACTCGATATTGGATGAAAACTGATTTCTAGGCCGCAAACCTTCTTCAGAAGGGCCGCGTTCTTCAACTGCCTCGTTGACATCCTTGTAGACTTCGACGATAGGTTTCGACGATGCCTTTGGGAACGCTCTAGATTGCGTGACCTTCGCTGCGCGTTGCTTCTTGTCACGCAAGCGCTCCTTCTCAAATTCTCGACTGAGCTGTTCAAAATGTTTGGCTAACGTAGATACCTTAGTTTCCCTTCCCTTGCTATGGATAGAACGAGGAATCAAAGAGTGCCCGGGCTTTCTGGTGCTTTTAAGGGATCCTAAACCCAATCTATCAGAGAGCCGTTTGTCTTTTGTTTGCTCGCCGGAGAAAGCCCCTAGAGGAATCGTCGAGTCGGGAGGAATGCCGACCGCGTTGGCCTTTTCCCTAGCTGCGATGTTGAATGCCCTCAATGCCGCAGGTTGCGTGCGCCGCAGTGTTACCGCCGGTTGTGACTGAGTGCGGAGTATTGGGGGTGATACAGCGAGTCCGCTGCGTCGACCAGCGTTTCGATCGCTTGGCCTCGGGATACCAGACGGCTCCGGGTTGGTAGTTGCCCCTTCACGCAAGTCTGCTTGACTTTTTTCCCGCACCTGCTGCGGAGTTTTTGGAGTGTCTGCCTCTGAATCATGTGGCCCTAGCTGGGATGATAAAGTGTTGTCGGAGTTAGCAACGAGTTTGCTTTCAGAGCTTGGCAAAGGCGAACCAGTTTGGTCGACGGGGGAGTTGACCGCTGGGGCATCATCACCCGTCGCAACCCACGGAATTGCAAGATCAAGGTGGTGTACAGTATCTTGACTTTTAGTCGAATTCAGTGCTTCGGTGCCTTGTGGGCGCGGAACTTTGAGGGCTGCATCGTCTATAGAAACTGATTCCTCGACAAGTGGAGCGAGCGTTCCTTGAAATTCAGTGGGAGGCATATCAGTATTGTCGTGAACCGAGTTGGTGACTTTACTGGATTGTCCCTCGTCAGATTGTCTCTCGTAAATATCCTGTGATTGATCAGGCGTTTCGTTCGGAGTCGTGGATGCATCGCGGTCGAGAAATAAATTCTTTAGTTGAAGGGCAGCAAGACGCCTGATATCCTTCTCGGATGGGAAGAAGTTTCGATCAAAATCAGTAAACGCCGTATCCCACTCCGCAACTCTTTCTTGCATAGCACGGATAGCTCGGTTCATGGGGATTATCTCGTAATACTTGGACTCCATATACTTCTCCTGTAGTTTATTTAATAATGATGCATGTTCGTCTTGTGCCCTCTGAGAAAGGGTTTCAACCTCGGCCATACAGGCCTCAACTTTGTCGCTAACGACGCTGTCGATATTGATCCCTTTAATACGCGATTTGACTGATGCCATGAAGCGATTCCACCTGTCTTCGGTTTTTGTGAATAAGTCATTCTTCAGCCTCAAGTCGTTGTCAACTTTCCATGTAATCCTGGTTCGTGGGACGACGATCTCGAGTAAATCGATCGGGTCATAGTGTATTCGCATGGTCGCATTCCGAAAACCGAAATATCGCAAATGGTTTCGATGGAGGTCATGGGGACAAAACCCGGCACGAAGTCTTAGCTCGGTGCTCCAGAAAGACAGTTCTAGGTATTTGCCAAAGGAGTACTTCCAGGTGCTCTCTGACATCGGCATGACCTGGGTCTCCTTTTTGCAAATTTTGCAATAGCTCCACATCAATATTGAATCTTGCAATCCATTGAGCTTACATGGTGATGCTTCAACGAAGACGGTAATTCTAGCTTCGCCATGCACATACGTCCTATGGTGCTCTGACATCTTGCGTTCGCAGCCATTGGAAGCACAGACTGCGTCTACTGTAAGGCATAGGTCTTCAACGTACTGCCCTAATGTGCAGTCGGGGAAGAAATCGTTGGACGTCTCGTGTTCATTATAGAAAGCCATGGCAGTTAAATCGGGTCCAGCACATGGCACCGTCGTGGCTGTGCAAACAACAGTGTAAAGAACAACTATGTTCTGGTGGCTGTAAGGGTCGAACAGATTCAGGTTGCCCTGGATATAGTTCTCCCATTGTCGCTTTTGTGTTTGATAATTGTGAAGAGCTTTATCATACTCTGCATCATGCACTGCATGAAGGACCTCCATTATCTGCCTGGGAGCTCCCCTAACCGTTCCATGGACCATTTCAGGATGGATCAATTGAAATCGCTGTGGGTTGGCTTTCTCCACGTCTGTTTGGTCTTCAAACGTGTCCTGGTCACGAAGCCGTTTAAGATAGACTAGGCGGCGTTCCTGCTCCCGAGCATTCATGAGAAGATAGGGTTGCGTAAACTTCACAAACGGAGAGGCTGAGAGTATTTTTGTTTGATGTTTCGCAACCATGTCGCTATAGAAAGTCGGCATTGGAATATCTTCAGGCAACACCTGGGTATCATGAACATGCGACTCATGGGCCGAGATAAGTTTTGGCTGTACATCTGGGTGGCTGTCTTGAATTGGTGTTTCCGCAGTGGTATTAATAGTGGCTTGTGGGAAGCCTGGTTGCGGGCCATTGTCTCCCAGTTCTCCAGAAGACTCCTGGCTTTCATTGTGCCCGGTTGTCGCCTCGTCGATAGACTTTGTACTATCGGTCTCATTGCTGGTAACCTGTACAGCTTTTTGAACCGGTTCCACAGGTGAATTATTGGTGTCGGTCTTTTCAAGCGCGCTTTTGCTGCTGGGGGTAGGAGTCCCGTAGTCTTCTGTGATTGCAGGTATGAGAACAAACTCATCTCGCATGAGACAAGTCTCCAGCTTCAAGTTGTATACTACATAAACCATAAACTCGGTAATTCGCTTCATTGTAGAAAGAACAGCCATACTTGCACCACGAAGGACAATGGTGCAGCCGAGCTCCTTGGGACACCCCGATATATATATGCAAGTCTTTCTGGTGCCCGGAATATCATTGTGTACGTATGTTTTGACATCAAACCCTGCGCTCTTGCCAACATGGACAGGTTTAAGTGCAACCATATCTATGGATGAGATAATTTCAGTCTGAGCGAATCTCGAAACCGCTTCAATAACTGATTGTTTGACATTGTAGGCAACGGCAATGTTAGCCTCCGCAAGGTATTGAAGAGCTAGGCCAGAGATATGACTCTGTATAAGCACAACATGAGGCCGAAGAGAGGCAATTCGGTTCACCATATTCTTCAGAAAGTCTTTCTCCTGCGCTATGACAGGTTCAAGGCTCATAAAATGCTGTTGATGTCGCTGATACTCAATGGGGAATGAGATAATCACTATTCGTGGCTGCGATATACTGCGCGCCATGCTCTTCAACGCAAGATTTTTAGTGAAAACAACCCCCGAGACGTAGGAGGTATCCCCAGGCTTTCCCCCAGGTATTTTTTTCAACTTGACGTAATGCCTGATATCAATATCATCCCCACGGCGTACATCCGGGTTGACATCGTCAGTACATTGTAGTAGGATTGGAATTAATGCCTTCTCCCATGATGCGACATTTTCCACGCAGGCGTCTTGAAGTAATTGTCGTAAGAGGCGCCGGACATGGTGAAGGCTTGCATTGTTCAATTCCACTGCTGGAGCCTTGGAATTCCTCATGGATGCACTGCGGGTCATCTTAGAAGCTCTGTGAGACGACGGTTCCAGTGGGTCGTCTCTTGGAATGGTAGATTCTTCGCTCAGTTCGCCGTAGTTATACGTGAGAGGTCCAGGCTTGTTCTGCCTTGGGGACCCCCGGGCAATGTGTACATTGCTTGAAGTACTCAGATTTCGTCTACGATTAGGTCGGCCATGGCTAACGGAGCCGGCCCAACTGTTATCCTCAACAGGTCGTCCACTAAAACTCAAGCCACTAATACTTTTTTCACCGGCACGGGATCGGTGCTTCTTTGTAGCATTCAGGAGTGACCCAAAGGCAGACTTTTCGTTTTCATAGCTGGTACTAATACCGGCACTGCCATTCAAAGCAGTGAATATACTCATCTGCTCGTCTCCGCTCGATTCATCGTCTGACATGTAAGGGGCTAAGTCCGGATCAATGATATTGTCGTCATGCAATGCCGGAAGTCTTGACCGTTTCTTTATCTCATCCGCGGCTGAGTTACTGTGGAACGGTGGTCGTTCTGCTGCTGTTGACCTAAAACGGCCTAGAAAGTTATGTTTTGGTTGGTTCGCCTTCTGGCCCGAAGACAACGGTCGACTCAACGATAGCGCTCTTAAGGAACGAGAAGAGCTTGGTCTGCCAAGTTGAGGCGCATCAATTTCCAAAACTGCAGATTTCCTATTTTCAGAGTCGCCTATGCGTCGTGTTGCTGGGATGGCCATCATCGGCGTCGTCACAGAGCCAACGGAGTCTCCATTGAGGCTCCTACCAGTGAAACTTCCATCAGGCCCTTCCTCGCTTGCACGGTCATCCTTCATGCTATTTAGTCTCGTCTGGTGAGATTGGAAGAAGGATGTCGGAAGAAATGTATCGTCACCAGATTCATCGTCAGATCCACTACTGTCATGGCGTCTATTGATAATATCCAGACATGTTCTGCACACTCTCAATGTTCCTTGGACACCAAAGCGCTCGCCAGAGATTATTGAAGTGCACTTTGAATCAAAAATGCACCCACAGGTTCGGCAATGATGTTTCCTTCTGAACGCAGTAAATGCATCACCACACAGAAAGCATTCCTTACATATCTCATCAGCCATCCAAAATTCCTTACTCAGGACTTGCTTTCTCATTTGCTCTAGTCTAGTGTTGACGACATTCGGTCCCCCCTTATTCAGAGTAGAACCTGCGGCGCGGTTTGCGCCAGTAGGGCGGCCATGGTGGATCTCATCAGCATAAAACAGCTCGTGGTTGAGGCTATTACGGGTGGAAGTGTTCACAGGACTAGTTTCCGTAGCACTGCGTTCCGTTGACGAAGCCCTCGATGGTTGATACCCTGGTAAATGTGATTGTGTAAATCTGTCAATTGCTGTGGGCTGGTTCAATTTTTGGCTTGCATGGTTGGCTGATAATGCAGCATGCGCATCTAAAGGGCGTTGTGATGACTTTGCAGATCGACGGCTGGTTGTAGCTGAGGTGTCTTCTGGCTCTTCAATTATCGACATTTCCGTCCCCAAAGATGTGGTTAAACCAGGCGTCAAGGGTAAACCCCCTAGCCCATGGGCTTGTTCCGGATTAGAAATATCAGAATGTTTGGCATCAAACGTATCCGAATCTTCAATGGGGTGTGCACGTAGCGGGACGTGGCTTGTCCTTCGATGCATGAAATGGTTAACCGAGTCACTCTCGCCGGGCTCTTTTGAAGAATCTGCTATACTTTCTCGATCTTCTGATGCTGCTATGTTGACAGGTGTCGTTGTGGGAGCAACAGCTGCGGCGGTTGACTCGCTTCTAGAAGTCATGCCTGGCCGCGATGATAGTAATGCTTTGGCAGTTGTCGGAGTAAAGTGAGTCGGCGCTTTGGATGACTGATATAACTGCGAACTGCTGCCAGATTGGGTTGTAGAAGCTGATATAATTGGCGGCTGTCCAGGAGGTGGATCTGAGACCACCTCACCAATAGAGTCGTTTAGGTTCAATTCTTCCCTGGCGATGGCGGGCACCGATGAGTTCGCGGTACTGGTGGCAAAGTTCTGGTCTTGGGTTGACGGCTTTTCACGACTGTCGGCGTTATTCTTGACCACGGGTTGACTACCTTTGTCTTTTGAGGCGCCCACGACACCCCTAAACCGACTGTATAGACCACTGAGCCCATTTTGCATCAGTTCGCCGGCGATACCCTTTGATTCAACGCCTGACGAGGATGAAGGAGGAGAAGCAAATTCATTAAACGTTGTCAACGTTTCCGAGTGAGACGCAGTATTGTGGATAGCATCGAGAGCTTGGGTCAGCTGTTCTTTGTCCGCCTGTGACGATCCTCCTAGTGACGCGAGAGAGCCCCGTCTAGACCGGAGTCCAGATGGAAGGCTGGCCATCATCCTCGAAGAGGAAGAATTCTGCTGCGAATCTTGTGAGGACATGTCGTAGGTGATGCTTGTATCTCAAATGAAACTATGTCATCGATTCGATACTGGCGGTTGATTCAGTGCTAACGGCAGCGCGGATTGTCGAAATCGAGCGGCTCGAGTGTAAGTTTCGTAGGGCTGTGTAAGCTATCAGTCCTCTCGCCCAGAATCTGGTCAGGGTCAGCTGTTGTTACAGTATCTGTGAGGTTGTATAGCTCGCGCATACTGTTTGATAGAAAGCGCATCGTCAACAGGATATGCTCATTGGGCACTCCTCGGCGTGCGATAGAAACCTTTCAAATGCATGAAAGCACACATTTGTCATAATAATATACTGTCGGGAGTGGCTGTGGCATAAGGGCTCAGGTGGTTCGTAAGAGTCGTGCTGCTGGACCACAGTACAGTACCATGAAAGGCAACACAAGCTATCTGCTGTATACCTGACGAGGTAATTACGTCGCTGGCGACTCCACTGCTAGGTTACTCCAACTTACCCCACAAACACCAAAGTTAAAGTTTGGTCACGTGATACTCGCGTCCACTCGTTGAAGCCGACGCGTCACCCCTCGGACAAACGCGTCGTCTAGATCGAGAATGTCTTGATCACCCTATGTCTCCAAAAATCAGCCAGAGAGGAACCAGCATACCCAAAAGCATCTCCCTAGGCATTTGAAGTTGAAGACGAGGTATGGCAGGTAGCGCCTTTCATCCACAAGCTTGATTGCTATTCTCTCCAAGGAGCTCCTCGGAACAGCTTGCGTGCAGTTGCTTTTTTCCAATCACCACATACACGCTCAAGCCCGACAAGTGTTGCAAAGTACTGCAGCCTTGCCCATGTCCGTAGAGGATGGAGCCCGAGCTGCAGCAGTGGATATGCGGAACAGTTATTGTGGAAGCGAAGAAGCTTTTACTTGATTCGACGCAGAATTCTTTCCAGGATACCACTAAGGGCCATGATAATGCTATGCGAGTGCATCTATCTGGCACAAGAGCAGTGCAAATTATTGATGTCAGTGCTAACTCACGGAGGATCCTGCAACTGCAGACTGACACTTTCCTAGTTTAATGGTCAACGGAAGGCACCTTTTACCAACATTTCGGTCTCGGACGTGTCCTGTCAAATCCGTGCGAGTTTATCGGAAGCTGCAAGAAAACAGTTCGAGAATAGGTACGACCGGCGCTTACCACATAGAACTGTTGGGGCCATTTTCGAGATTGGCGGGTGTTATTTGGTAGCGTTCTTTCCCGTGGCTTCGCTGTGAACTATCTTGATTGACTGATGCCGCAGATATTCAAATCGAAAGTAAAAGGTGTCCCACAAGTGACACTCAGTATTGATAGTCTTGTTTTGAAAGGTGGCGAGGGTTCATCTAACCGTGGTTTTCCGGTACCGATTGAGGAAATTGAAGATGTCCAACAGCTGATGACACGAATGAAGAATACAGTGCCTCCGCAGGAGGCTTTGGTCAGAAGCCGTTATAAATGCACCTCCCCTATACGTTCTCTGGCCGAGATCCCCTCGGGAGATGAAATGGGGAGTCCAAATGGACAACTTGCAACGCAGGCTCCAGTAGCCCCGGAAATTTATGATAAACACAGCAAAGTCACAAAGAAGTCGGCACCTTCGTCAAGGAATCTGAAGGCGGTTAACCTACGCGGGAATCAACTACTCGGGCTAATAGGGAAAAACAAAAAATCCAACACTCCATCTTCAAATTTGATGGGTGGGATACCTGAGTCACGCCGTCCTATTTCGCTGTCAGATAATAAGCGGGCGGCAGCCATTGAAGGTGGTGCAGGAGAAAGCAATGAACGAAAGTTCCTCCGATTAACAGGCCGCGGGAACGGCGCTATACGTATGCCGGTTGGTGAGAATAAGGGTAGCGGCAAGCCGATAGTACCCTCAAAGCAAGGACTTCCTGGCGAGAACCCCCGGGTGGGTTCGCAAAGTACCAACGACCGTGGAAGTAATGCTGGAACTCCTCTTGTTGATCCATTACGACTCATCACGTCACATTCAGAAAAAGAGCTGCCAAGGCCAATTAGGGATATCGGGTTAAACTCGCGACCGACGAATAAGCCAACATTCAATTCCTTCCAAGAGAACCCCTGGGGAAAGTTGAACCGAATCCCCCTCAAGCATGTCATAATACCCAAAAAGCAGCTTGTGAAGCTCTCCACCGCGGCGTCGTGGGTCACCTCCGTAGCGGATATCGAATCATTGCATATAAGTCTCCAATCTGATATACCTGACAGCTTCATGCCCTCTACCCTCGAGCATGTAGTGGGTACTGTCGACCAAATTATTACTACGCCAGGCCATACATTTGAAGCGAAGGAAAGTGGCACAAATAAACGTAGCCTCAACGATGGTTCTTCCCGTGAGGTTGAGGTGTCAAGCCCACGAAATAATTATCATGAGAGCCAACGGGCTGAAAATCTCAGCGACAACATTCGCCGTACCACATCCCAAAAAGATCCGGTTGTTATACTGGACGCGGTTGGGGCAGAAGAAGATGATGCCGTGTCGTGGGCACCAACTTCAAGGGCATCATCAATGGGCCCTATCCCGAAAAATGAAAACGAACCATTAATCATGTCAGCTTTTCCGCCGCCTCATTCAAATACACATTCGCTCCAGGCTACGAACCAAGTCCCTGCGCCAAGCAGCCCAGATAGTTCACCCAGTCGAAAGCTAAATATGGACAGTAATGTTCATTTATCATCGATATTACCAAGTCTCTCAGATTCATCGGATATTAAGTTCGATAATGGGACGGATTTGAAAGACGGAGGTGGATCATTAACCAACAACGTCCATTCTAGTATACCTCACTCAGAAGATGATATGGAGCAGAGCGTACCATATGCTATTGGTGATGTCATTCAGTCTTCCGATGATATCTACTTGTCTCGCATCCCAGCTTCTGCTATAACGGTGTCCTCAACGAGGTCGCAGCAGTCTCCAGTCCTGCAGATTGAAAGAACTCCTTATAGTCGTTTGCAGAAAGACCAGCCTTCCTTACCAGAGGCACGTTTTCTAGGGTCACCCTTGGAACCAAAAAAGCCAATGCCGAGTCCTCACAGCTCGGCTGGTTCTATAATCTTGGGGACTTTCAACTGGGATGCAAGCAAGGATGATGATACCCCAGGGCACTTCTCGACGCATGACAAATTACAACAAGGCCACGACAAAGACCGTCGGGCTAGTGATGTTACTCCGGAACCCAGTGCAGGAAAGGTTGCTGGGCGATCGGAGTGTCTTTCAACGCCGGTGCTTGATCATCCACCGATATCCATCGACGCTGGCGGAGAACGAGAACTATGTGGTGAAAACCGCAACGGGAGTGGATTTAACCAAAACGAAGTCACATTTCGACATAGTTCTCAGCCAAAATCGACACAAGACGTAAAGTCCTCGGTGGGTATTGACGCTGAGAAGCTATCAGAACCCGCGAAACCGTTGGGATCTGAATCTCCGGTTTATAATGTACTCCCTTCTCTTCCATCCATCACCTCTCCGACATCGAAGAAAATCGCCAAATCATACATAACTAGACGCGAAAGGAAGAGACAGAGGGAGGAGTCGGGGATGCAATTTTCATAGTTATGTTTGGCCCTAAGCCATGATACCTCCTCTTTATCTGGCCTAGCTCGTTAAGCCACGATGGTGGCGTCCTGGGATGATACTGGGACGCCTCTATTACATAGTTAATTGGATACTTGGGGTCCTTTACTGATGTACAATATTATTTTACCTTAAATCGTCGCTGGTAGCCGTTCGATCAATTTGTTAACGTAGTGTAATAAGAAAATGCTGACTGCCCTGGTGCCTCTGGGGCTCTGTAGCCAGTGCGGTTTGGTGACCGCCTGCGTTTGCAGGTTGCAAGGCAGAGGCGCGGATGGCACTAGTCTTCATGGAGCGGTGTAAAAAAGTAGATAGGTGATCTCTGCATAAGCAGACCAAGGCGAAACTTTCTTTTGGGAGTTTAGCAGCGCATTTAGAGGCTGATCACGAATGAAATGTGCTATGCGAGTCATAAACTTACACAAAATCCAACAGTAAAACTTCTTCAATTGCTAAACGAGTCCGGTGACCACAAGGAGCTAAAATTAACTCAACTAAGGGGCATAACAACATAACGATATTTTTGTTGGGAAAGAAGGCTCGAGGCACTGAATATAATTATTTCTGGAGTGCTTTATTCTCCAACCCATAAAACCAACCCGAGACAGACGAGAACTCGCAGTTATGCTTCGCTGGTGAGTTGGATGTCGTTTGCTGAGACCCTGACGACTAAAATCAGCCAACAGGTACCGCATGAAGCTGGCGACTCGCCCAATGCTTACGCAGAGCGTGACCACGGCGATACTATTCGCGACGGGGGATATTATGGCGCAGCAAGCCGTGGAGCGCAAAGGGATTGAGAAGCATGAATTCGTTCGTACCGGCCGCATGGCATTATATGGCGGAGGTAAGATCAGCAAGGGGTAGGATCTGTACCTGAATTTGTACTAATTGGACGGAATAGCGATTTTTGGACCTGCAGCAACAACATGGTTCAGGTTTCTACAGACCAGAGTCGTACTACCAAACAAGAAATTGGAGATTTGTGCACGTGTTGGAGTTGACCAGCTTCTGTTTGCGCCAACGAACCTATTCGTGTTTCTGAGCACCATGTCCATCCTGGAGGGTGTAAGCCCCCGCGAGAAGTTGGCCAAGACATACACCGGAGCTCTACAGAGCAACTGGATGGTCTGGCCGTTTGTGCAGGTTGTCAACTTCTCAGTTGTTCCCCTCGATTACCGGGTGCTTTTTGTCAATGGCCTCTCGATTTTCTGGAACTGTTATCTCAGCTACATCAGCAAATGAGCGAGCAAATAGGTGGATGAATTTTAGCGAAAACCGAGGATATCGAGATGTAGCAATGTGAACTGGGACCTCTATTTGGCGATATAGATAGACTTCAAATCCGTGTACTTATATTCACACGGTATCTGCAGATGGACTAGACTAGAGGGCAGCTTAGATTCACCCGAATAATTCATTTAAGGGTCACAAAAGATAACGTGAGCCCATGAGTACGTCATATAACCATAACGGGTACTTCATCTTCACAAATCTTCACAAATAGATATATTTGACTAAACTTTGAACCAATAAGTGAAGTTACAAACTAGAGCAAGTGCTTCAAAAGACTATATATTTCTCGAGTGTATAATTTGGCTTGGCGATGCTTCAACCCCATTGATTACATAAGACAACAGAAAAACGCGGCTAAAGGTATCAGGGCGCAGGGGACAGACTGGTGTTTGCACCAGCAGAAATAAGCGCCACCCGAGCTTTTTGTTGTGCTGGACCACCCACATTAGCGTCAAACTTTCTGTTTCTAGCCGCCTGCCGCCTTTCTTTTCACTGGAAAGTGTGCAAGTTACACACTCAAATAAACTCAACAAGCCTCCACCTCACCTAATTCGCCTTCTTCAGCATCTTCTCACCTGCCATTCACCTGACGACAGGTTCACCTCATTTCTTCCTCCGATTAATCACAAGAGGGTCTAATTATTCGATACTGTGGACAGCATTGAACACTCAACATCGATCCAGACGCCACACACAACACCAAGACTTGCACTACCCCACCAAGCCAACTTCAAACCGCGACAATCTCGCTCCTCTAGCCTGTACCCATGTCGTCTGCGTCCGAAATGCCTTCCAATGGCGATGCCAAGCCTGATTCTCCCGTCGACCTCTCCACCATCCCGATTTCCCCAGCTGGGCAAGATAAGCCCCAAGGAAAGTCCGCGGCAACTGGAGATGAGCAAATCACTGTCTTTCACGACCCCGATAACTTCAACGTGAAGCATCCTTTAATGCACAAATGGACGCTCTGGTTCACCAAGCCACCTACTGGAAAGGTAGACACTTCTGAATATAACCCAACTAACGAACGTATGCTAAATCCTTTCCAGGGAGATAACTGGAACGAGCTACTCAAGGAGATCATCACTTTCAATTCAGTGGAGGAATTCTGGGGAGTCTACGTATGAGTGGCCTCTTTCTCCAATACCGTTTTGTTTCTGACTTATATCTAGAACAACATTACCCCCACCTCGGAGCTTGCTCTGAAGTCTGACTATCATCTCTTCAAAGAAGGAGTAAGGCCAGAATGGGAGGATATCCAGAATAAGCACGGTGGCAAATGGTCGTACCAGTTCAAGGACAAGCGCAGCGTTGCGATCGACGACGTGTGGCTTCATGTGATGCTTGCTGCTATCGGCGAAACCCTCGAGGAGGAAAACGACGGGGAGGTGATGGGAGTTGTTGTTAATGTACGCAAGGGATTCTTCCGTGTGGGTGTGTGGACGAGGACGATCGGAAAGAGCATCCCAGGTGGAGGCGACGGCGACGTTGCAGGAGGGAAAGGACGACCCACGGAGAGAGGCCAGGAAATCCTCAAGAATATCGGCCGAAAGTTTAAGGAGGTCTTGACAATTCCTGCGAATGAGGTGGTGGAGTTCTCTGGACATACCGATAGCGCACATGCTGGCAGCACGCGTGCCAAGGCCAAGTTCGTTGTCTAAACTGGGATGAACAGATGACAAGCATGGGCCACCGTCGAGTCGACTCGGGCAGAGGCTTCTAAACATATGACACTTTGTCTGTTGGAGCATTCTTATGTTCTTACATCGTCATCAGGAGCAAGTCATTTACCAATCAGGCACTGAGGTCTTTCTGAACGTCTCAGACTTTACTGGCTTCTTATGTCCTTATATCATTTGCTACGAATAGAGGCCATACCGGCAGGCGTTAGAGCCAAGCGGGTTTGCCTTTTTTTTTTTTAGCGATGACACAAGCTTGATGCGCGTCTCCATGGTGCATGGTCACTATTACATTATTTGCTGTGGATACAATGCTCAGATAGAATAATCCATCTACTATAACCGCTACACCTCATCGCCGCTAGCTTCATCGGAAAATACATTTCCCACTAGCTGTGCTTTGTTGACTGTATTCATTAGTATTGTGGTTCAAATAATACGGATGAGATGAACTCACTTTTGCCCATAGCATTTTTCGGTATCTCGTCAACAATCTTCATCGTCTGAGGTATCTTGTAATTTGCCAACCTGTCCCGCAAGGCTCTTCTCATGTCCATTGGGCCCCATTTCTTGCCATCTTTACTTAGTCTATGTTGCTCTAAAACAATCACAGCGCCAACTTTTTGGCCCCATTTTGCCGAAGGAACCCCGACCACAGCAGCTTCAGCCACCTCTGGAAGCGAGAGGAGCTCTCTCTCAACTTCCAAGGCACTGACTTTTTCTCCACCTGTCTTGATAATGTCCGCACTTCTGCGGCCCCTGATGAAGTACATAGGCCCCTTGGCCCAGGCTTGCTCCCCATGGCCCGCTTCTGGGACATGTCTTCGGACTGCAATGTCACCTGTCTTGAACCAAGGCCCTTTATCATCCGTTCCATCTACGAATGCTTCTTTCGTAGCCTGGTCATTATGCCAATATCCTGAGAAAACGGTTGGCCCTCGAAGTTGGATTTCACCATCTCTCTCCTTTCCTGCCTCATCCTTCTCTTGCCCAGGTTCAATAACAGTGTTTGTCTCCGTATCAAGTAAGCGCACCTCGACAGACGGAAGAGGCCATCCAGCGCTGCCATCAACTCGGTCTGAAAATTTGAGGCCACAGCTAAGGGCCATTCCAACTTCTGTCATTCCATATCTCTCTAACAGTACATTCCCATCACTTAACTCGGCCCAAGCCTTTTTAGTAGGAGTCGGAAGGGCAGCCGAGCCTGAAATAGCTAGGCGCATGGTTTTAGGGGATATTGCCTTTTTCGTCGCAGTTTGAAGGCTTTCCGGAAGGTCTTTATAGGAAGAAAGAAGTCTGTTATAAACTGTCGGAACTGCTGTTAAAAACGTGATCTCTTCTGGGGTCTTTGGGTTTTCCAAGAATGGAGCCCCAAGGCGCTTCCAGACAGCAGTAGCATTGAATGGAAAAAGGAATTCTATGGTAGCACCTGCGAAAAGCGGCGCTAGAATAGCATTGATGATACCATGGATGTGATGAAGGGGAAGAACGTGGAGTAGATGATCCTCGGGCGCATAATTCCAAGCTTGCAGGAGAGATTGTGCCTGTGCAGTGGTCACCGACTGTGCCAGGAAGACACCTTTCTATTTCAAATTAGCTTAGTTACGTCGATATTGACGCGAACTCACGGGTTTGCTAGTGGTTCCAGAGGTGTAAAGCATTATGCCTCCTGGGCCATCGGTAGGACCGTCCAAGGAGACCTCGGCACGTCCAATTTCGCCTCCTTGAAGCTTTTCCACCTCAATTACGCGGGGTTGCAAAGAGAGGCCTTGCAAAGCAACATCCTGTGCCTTTTTGTAGAACTTGCTTGAAGCAAGTAACATTGATGCTTGGCTATGGTCCATGACATATTGTAATTCTCGAGGCGGAAATGCTGGCGACAGGGGCAGAGCAATGCAATGCACACTCAAAATAGACAGTAGAGTTACTGGAATCATATGAGTGCTTATAAATATTCATTTTGGGATTTCATCCAACGTACCTACGTAATCATAGCTATTTTCTATAATGAATGCTATCCGTTCGCCCTCAGGCGCCTCCTTCCCATCCGGAGAGTGCAGCCTATCCTTGGCTTTGGCAACATCTGAAAGCAGCTCTCCGTATGTAAATCGCCGACCTGATTCCGAATGAATGACGGCTGTTGAACTTGGATCATGTCGTGAAATTGCTTGGAACACGGGTAGGTTGGGGAGCGTGGACACCATCCTGGGAACTCCTGAAATAAACCAACGAGGACGAATTACAGGCCGTTTGAATAAGACACTCCACACTCGAGGGGCGCGGAGACAAGTTGTAGGTAACATTGTTAGGAACTCAAGTGGCCATCTAAGGCACGATGCTCAAGTGTATGGTGGGGCTACACATGTTTACGTGGAGTAGGTTGCCGGGTTGCGAACGCGAACGGGCATCGGTAGTTGGGCGAAAGCGCGTGGCTACTAACTAATCCCCGGATTTTTTATGGCGATAGCGTTCGAGACTTGATATATATTCAACAATTCCAGAGACATTTCGCTCTATTTACATTTATATGTAGCATCAGCATATCCCATATTGGCACCTTCAACCATACCGAGATGAACTTCCTTTCCTTCTGAATTTCCTTCTGGATGGTGCTCGTGTGAGAGATTCAACTGTTCTTATCAGCAGGTGACCCGTCGATAAGCGAGCCAGGGTTCGTCACATCTGTGCATATGCTCCAGTATTTATTTATCCGCAACTGATGCAGCAGCATACTTCCAAACCAGCAGAGACATATCTCGACGCGCCCTTCCAAAGAATATATACTTGTTAATGCTGCGCCGACTGGCATTTACTGTGGCAAGTAGGCCGTTCTCGACAATTATGGCTTCGAAACCACTCGAAGACGCCATGAGGGCAAAGGTTATATAATCCGACGACGACCACTCAAGCCTGTGCTAACTTGGTGATGTAGCTCAGTGATGCGCTCAAACCGGAGAAATTAGAAATACACAATGATTCTCACATGCACTCACACCATAAAGCCATGGAAGGCAATACCTCAAAGGAGACCCATTTCAGGTTTGTATTTGGATCCTTCTATTAGAACGACTCTGACTATAGCACTACAATAGAGTGGTGATAACTTCGGACGCTTTCAAAGCCAAGTCGCAACCCGCAAGACATCGAATGGTATATACCTTGCTGAAGGATGAAATGGCACAAGAAGGAGGGATCCACGCACTGCAGCTTCGCACACGAACCGTTGACGAAGATGCTCGACAAGCAACAGAGGATGTTACCAGCTCATAAGTGTAACACGTTAAGTCGAATAGTTTCGTCAACTATTGAAAGCCATGACACACTTAGTATATTCATATCCATATCCATACAGCAAGTCCGTCGTCCACAGCGATTAACACGGCCGCAAGCGAACTGTGGAGGGCGCTGCTGGGGCAGACCATATAACAGTGATCCACATACAACCACTATTTCGTCCGTTCGCGCCTGACGTATTAATTGAGATCCGCCAGCGTTTATCCCGCGAGGCAATCCACCGCCTGATTCCGCTTCGTACTTCGATTCCAATAGCACTTTCAGACCTGAGGCATAGATAGGTTCCTGACAGTGACTTCTGACGGCTCAGTTATTGTCGCTATCTGGCGTGTGCTTGGGCCGTTCATGGTCCCTGATAATCAAGGAACATGCGGCATTCTCCACCTTCTCAACACTCTGAACCATTGTCTCCATCTTCTTGTCGATTTCTCCGCCAAGGCTTGTTCCATGGCAAGATGTTGTATCTAGTGCTTCAAAGGAGGATCTCAGGTGCCTCAGGTCTGTTAGTATCGAGCGGTCGACAAATGAGTGACTGGATTTCAAATGTGGCAGTGAGCCTGTTGTCGCAATGGCAGTGACTGCAAACCGCATGATTTCCCCCGACAGATCGAATAACCCCAGCGCGTAGTCGTCAACCGTTAGAGGAATATTCCATATCATGCTTTTCGTTGCAAGCTCTCTCGTGACTAGCTTCCCTGTTCTAAGATAGTGCTCAACTGCGGCAATGTTAAGAAAATCTCCAATAAACCGTCTTAGGGAAGTCAGGGCACGAACATGAGAGAGCCTCTATGAATTCTTGGATCCCGGGTGAGGCTTGGCGTTGATATCGCCAGGAATTGATGCCCTGAAGGTCCTTCGACATGGTTTTAAATAGCTCCGAAATTGCCTCAAATCTTCCCTGGACTTCTGTGCTGATATTTTGGGGTATTCCTGAGCTGATAGTTCTCACTCTGGTTGTTGACTTAGCTTTGACTAACGTGTATATCCTCTACGGGATCGCAAAACTGGTGATCATACCTCTGAAGAGAGAAAATACTGGAATCGAATTAATAGTCTACCCACTCGTATAATCATGACACTACTCACGCCTTCTTACTAAGAGCTGTGACATCTCGTGATGACTTGATTATGCGCTCTCTGGCAAGGTGGTTCTCATCGATTTCAGCCCTGAAGCCATCGAAAATTGGCAAAAATGGATTCGGAGTTTCCGCCATCTCTTCGTATGATCGTTTCTCTGCCGGCATATGGTCTGTTATTCTAAGATAGGAGGGAATGTATGAACGAACTGTAACCTATGGCGACAAAGCATGCGTTCTTAAATGGGAAACTAAAGGTTGGAAGTGATCACGTGTTATCGTGTTGGTCCATTGCATTTGTGTGGCGCGGCTGTCAATTGTGGCCTGGCTCGGCAATTACAGACGCGCGGTTGGCTCAATCGAACGTCGCCTGGTCAAGCTCCAACTCCGGCCTGCAATCTCGATCGGAATAATAGCGCCAACTGGCGTAGGGAGATGGTTTTCGTTTGGTCTGGTGAACCCTATAATCAGAAGTTGATTTCTGGAAATCGTACCTAGGTTGCCGTTCGCAATTCACAGATCTGGTAACGGTCTCCTCTGGCCCAAAACATTCCTTTTGACTTCTGATATAACCATGGGCACCAAGTCTACCTGGTTCAGGCCACTCCCTGTTTTTTCCGCCGCGATAATTCTGAGGATTGGCCTATTTATATACGGCCTATGGCAAGATGCCAACTCACCAATGAAGTACACCGATATCGATTATTATGTTTTTACGGATGCTGCTCGTTATGTCGCGACTAACCATTCGCCCTACGATCGTGAAACATATCGATATACACCTATTCTGTCGTGGCTGCTCTTACCGACTACATGGCAAGGGAATTGGTTTTCATTCGGCAAGGCTCTTTTTGCCCTGAGCGACATTATTACTGGTTGGCTTATTGTCCTCGTCCTCCGAACCACAGGTGGAATGCCGATGGATAGAGCGCTGAAATTCGCCAGCATCTGGTTGTTAAATCCAATGGTTGCAACCATAAGTACAAGGGGAAGCTCGGAGGGCCTGCTTGCCGCCATGGTGGTTGCTTTGGTTTGGTCAGTCATGCAACGCCGGATTGTGTTGGCTAGTGTACTGCTGGGTGTTGGCGTTCATTTCAAAATATACCCATTTATATATGCCCCGTCGATAGTGTGGTGGCTAGATGATGAGCAACTGCAGTTACAGCCTAAATCGACACAGGAGTCGTCATTGTGGAACAGGGCCCGAAGGTTTTGTAATAAACCCCGGATCACGCTTGCCTTTCTGAGTTTTGGGACTTTTATCGCCTTGAATTGGGCCATGTATCACATGTAGGTTATAGGCTTTTTATTACATTCTTGCACTAACAAATTTCAAGGTATGGGAGTCCGTTCTTACATCATACTTATCTTCACCATGTCACACGCGTTGATCACCGACACAACTTTTCGCCCTATAATACCATTTTATATTTAAGCTCTACTGCATCCACCCCATCATACATGCATCTGGAGTCTTTGGCGTTCATTCCACAGCTATTTCTCTCTGCAGTTGCGCTTCCGTTGTTGTTGGCGAAGAAGGATCTACCGTCGACAATGTTGGCACAAACCTTTGCGTTTGTGACCTTCAACAAAGTCTGTACGAGCCAGGTATGAAAATATGATGATGCCAGTATTGTACCACCGCTGATTATAATCGTAGTACTTCCTTTGGTACATGGTGTTCCTCCCATTCTATCTGCCCACATCGTCTCTGGTTGCATCCCCGCGACTTGGAATAACGGCGCTCGTCCTGTGGGTTTTAACACAAGCCATGTGGCTCCAACAAGGTTTTCATCTGGAATTTATTGGGAAAAGCACCTTCGTTCCAGGACTGTGGATGGCCAGCCAGTCGTTCTTTCTGACAAATGCCTGGATTCTTGGCATCATTGTATCTGATATCGGCGGAAAAGCAAAGGCCCTTCCAACAACACAGGCCACCTCACCGTCACCGAGTGAGGAAGTTAAACAACAGACATAGTAATATTTAGACCTATAATCACGCACTGGCTCAGCTCAGCGACTCTTAATAACAGCTTTGAACTGAAGTCACAAGTTGAATGTTTTAAGTAGGGAACCTGTGTGCATTTGAATTGTAATTTTAAGCCATGGATTATATTAGATTTATCAGGGTTTCTTGGAATTAATAAAACTATTGTAATTTCAAGCAGTTTTGAAATTAACTGATAATTTTAGTCATTGCAATCGAACCCATGCTAAAGTATCAAAGCAGCAAGCCAGCTAACTCTATAGCCAATTAAAACCAAAACAGCTTAAACATATATTTTTCTTTATAACACAAAAATATATAAAAATCCAAATAGCTAAATTCATTTTAGCAGCACTTTTGCTTTGGTTTCTAGTTCATATTAAACTGCGACTTATAAATTACTTCTATATAGAGAGGACGTAGGCTATAGCCATTCTAGCTATAAAAAGTCATTTAAGTAGCTATACTTCCTATAATAGACGTAATATTAGAACAGCCTTATACTTCTATAGAGCATAATATTTTTAAGAAGGTATTCTTAAATAGTAGTCTACCTAATTTTAATACTCTTTAAAAAGCGAATTCTATACTCTCTTCTATATTAAGTTAAGGTGTCTTAAATACTCCTATAAAGCGATATATTTATAAGTTAGTAGATAAGACAGAACGCCTTAATACACGTAACGCCCTTTAAAAAAGAGAGTGTAATAACTTACGTTTAATTATCTAAAAGCAAAGAACATAGAATAAGTGTAAAAGAGCAGTTTTAAAGGGTCAATTCTACATTTCTATGGAAGAACTCTAGTTGTAAGTTATAGAAGTAGAAGCAGCAACAGCTATAGCTTCATAGAGGCCTATAACAAGGCTACAACCTATGAACGAAGCTATAATTAAAGAAATAGATGAAGAGAGCGAAGAAGAGCCTTTAGAGGATGACATATATGAATTAGGGTAGTAGTAATTGAATTATTTACGATTTTCTAAGTTAGTAACGTAAGTCGTGGCGTAACCGGCACAATGGCGTAACCGGCATAATCATGTGGTGTCCCCTCACCAAAAAAAATCAACTTTTTTAATAAGGTTGTGGATATTTTCTAGGCTCTGCAGATAATACGTTAATATGCGTACTATTACTATACATAAGGGCTAAGCTATACAATTAAAATTGCAAAAGTTATAATTATTTAAAAAATCATTAGAAGTAAGTACCTTTCTATTGAAAGTTTGGTGTAGAGTGACATTATGCCAGTTACGCCATTGTGCCGGTTACGCCACGACTTACGTTAGTTTAGTGGTCTACTCCTGGATTTTGGTGGGGTTTTCAAAATAGCCGGTTACACCATGTAGCCGGTTACACCATGACCTACGTTATGTCCTAAGTTATCCTACTTGTTTAAGTTAATAATACAATTAGAATTCTAATTCTAACTATTCTATTTACCCTCCTCATAACTAAGACCATCTACCTTACTTATATTCTTACACATTATAAGGCTTAATTAAGTAAACAAATAAAAACATATATTTCTATAGGTGTTCTAAGTTATTATATATGCTCTAAGTTACTATGTATGTTCTAAGTTATTACATGAGTGTTGTTTAAAAATGACAATTTTAATTCTACTAACTATTCTAGTTCTCTCTCTCTTCAATCATTCTAGCTCTTTCCTTAATAGGAATAATATCACACGGCTGAGCTCGACAGCTACGTGCATTATGATTTGTCATCTTACTACAATTACCACATCTTCTAAGCTTCTTCTTTAAAGCTCCTTTGCGTAGCCGTACAATCTTTGGCCGTCCACGGAGCTTAACAATGTGTGGTAGTAGAATTGTATATCTAGAATTAACGTAAGTCATGGCGTAACCGGCACAATGGCGTAACCGGCATAATCATGTGTTGTTCCCTCACCAAAAAAAATCAACTTTTTTAATAAGGTCGTGAATATTTTATAGCTTCTATACATAATAGAACAATATGCGTACTATTACCATACAAAAGAGCTAAGCTGTACAGTCAAAAGTGCAAAAGTTATGATCATTTCAAAAATCATTAGAAGTAAGTACCTTTCTATACAAAGTTCAGTGTAAAGTGACATTATGCCGGTTACGCCATTGTGCCGGTTACGCCATGACTTACGTTATATCAGTGGTTTCTAAAGGAAACATTTGGTGTTGGTATGTATTCCGGTAACGTAAGTCATGGTGTAAAGTCGGTAATGGGGTAAAGTTGGTAGTGGGGTTAGGGCCACCCCATCAAACCACATTACAACTACAACTCCTACTAACGTAAGTCGTGGTCAGACCGGCTACATGGCCAGACCGGCTACTTAGCTCACCCCACCAAAACCAAGGTCACTAAACCAAAATTAAAACTATAATAACTTTTGTAATAGTGTATATAAAGCTTAATCCTCTTAAATTATGTTTTTTCATATAATAATCTAACATGTATATAAACACTAGTAGCACTAGCTTTGTTTTACAAGAGATATTGAGGCTTATATTTTTACTATACAAATATTTATGTAGTAAAACTTAAAACTGTTATTAACTTATGTAAAAAGACACTAGTAATATTACCCTTTTTATATATAGTAGATACGTACTTAACGTTGCTATATAGAAAAGGGATTTGCTCTAGCATTTTTATTAATAGAGTTATTATAGTTCTAATTTTTCGCAAGCATAAGTACTTCTGCATACAAATTTGTATGTGATGGTACCAATAGCCGGTCTGGCCATGTAGCCGGTCTGACCACGACTTACGTTACTACAACTAACAGAATGGTTGAACGTAGGAGTATTAAGGCTCAAGAGCTTGATTTTCGACTTTATGAAGCTATTTTAGGAATAAAGTCTGGAAAATTTAAATCTTCATATGCTGCTGCAAAGGCTTTAGGGCTATGTGAAAGGAATCTACAGCGACGTATAAAAGGTGGTAAAACGCGTGTTGAAGCGCGTCAAAAACAGCAGTTATTATCTAAAACTCAAGAGCAAACGCTCTTAAAGTGGATTAAGGAGCTTACTATAAGTGGCTACGCTCCTAGTCATTGGATATTACGTGAGGTTGTAGAGGAAGTCCGATCAAATAAGTGTCGCGTTTTTCAGCCTCAACTACAACAGCAGCAACAACAAACACAACAACCTCAACAACCTCAACCTCAAATACCTAACTTACCTCTTAGGCAAGAGTAGGTTCTACAATTCATTCAAAGGCATCCTAACTTACGTGTTAAGTTAGGACGTAGAGTTGAGGCACAGAGGATGAATAGGGTCACAAAGCAGGTGTTGAAGGGGTGGTTTGACGCGTATAAGAGCCTTACAACAGAGCTAAAAATCGAAAACTACAACACCTATAATATAGATGAAACTGGATTTCCAATTGGAACTATGCAATCTACACGAATTATAGTCGACTCTACGCTCTGTACGCGATTTGAAGCTCATCCTAGCCGACAGGA